ATAGATGTACAAACCCAAGCCCCATATTCAAGTTATAATAAAAATATCTGTCTCAACAGCGATGCCTTAAATGAAAGCACATCTGATGCAGACAGTCCCACCAAGCGCATGACGCGCCTGCGGGCACGCGGTGGTGTACGTGACAAGCCGCCAATCATTGATGACGACGAGGATGAGTTTTTTGCCCCAGTTTCACGCAAAAGAAAGACGCCGCAAACACGCAAACCTCCAGCGGAGCGCAAGGAGCGCATTGAACGGCCACGCAAGGAGCCCGTGGAGAAGGCACACCATGAACGCATAGACAATGAGCGTGAAATTACCACTGACGAGAACAGCCTGTACTATATTGTGCGACACTCTAAAAATCCCATTGCGGTAATTATAATCAGAATTTATTGGACCATTCGGTCTGCAGAGGTTTTGCATGAAGACTAGTTTGAGCTCAACTAACAAATACTATCCTTAATGCAGAGCATCGTTGACCAGTGGATTGGGCAGTATAAGGCGAATCGGGAGACAGCGCTCGTTGCATTGATGCAGTTCTTCATAAACGCCAGCGGCTGTAAGGGCAAGATATCGGAGGATATACAATATCCCGTCGATCATACGGCTATTATTCGCCGTATGACGGAGGAGTTTGATGAGGTAAAAAAAAGGAACATCTCAAATCATAAAAATCACCTGCTCAGATTGCAATCAATTTTGTTTCAGGAAAGCGGCGAGTATCCATTAATCATGACCGGCACACAATGGAAGAAATTCAAAAATAATTTCTGTGATTTTGTACAAACACTTGTAAAACAATGCCAGTATTCCATTATCTACGATCAGTTTTTAATGGATAACGTGATTTCGCTGTTGACGGGACTCTCCGACTCCCAAGTGCGCGCCTTTCGTCATACCGCAACATTGGCGGCCATGAAATTGATGACCGCCTTGGTGGATGTTGCCCTCCTCGTATCCAATAATTTTGAAAACGCAGCCAAGCAATTTGAAGCCGAACGTGTCAAGGTTAGAAGCGCCTTGAGTGTTTCATTCATACCTTATATTTATATTCTAAAAATTTGTTATGTCTTTTAGTCGCGCGATCGGCGCGCATCGGATCGCTTGGACTCATTGATGACAAAACGTTCGGAGCTGGAGGAAAATATGGATGAGATCAAAAGCATGTTAACCTACATGTTCAAATCGGTGTTTGTGCATCGCTACAGAGACACGTTGCCGGATATTCGAGCCATTTGCATGGCTGAGATTGGCATCTGGATGGAAAATTATCCACAAAATTTCCTCGATGATTCATATTTAAAGTATATTGGCTGGACGTTACACGATAAAATTGGCGAGGTACGCCTACGATGTCTGCAATCGCTGCTGCCGCTCTATGACAAGGAGGAGCTTAAGGGCAAATTGGAGCTGTTCACATCCAAGTTCAAAGACAGAATTGTGGCTATGACATTGGACAAGGAATTTGAGGTGTCCGTCCACGCAGTTAAACTGGTTATCAGCATACTAAAGTAAGTCATAAAACATTATATAAACAACTTATATAAATGATTGCATATGTTTCAGAATACATCCGGAAATATTGGCAGATAAGGATTGTGAGATCGTCTATGAGCTGGTCTACTCATCACATCGTGGTGTTGCACAGGCCGCTGCAGAATTTCTGAATGTGCGTTTGTTCCACCTAACCGCCGACATGGAGGAAACGAAGACCAAACGCGGCAAACTGCGTCTGCCCAATACGCCACTTATACGCGATCTAGTGCAATTTTTTATTGAATCGGAGCTGCACGAGCATGGCGCATATTTGGTCGACTCGTTTATTGATAGCAATGAGATGGTGCGTGATTGGGAATGTATGACGGATTTGCTGTTAGAGGAGCCCGGACCCAATGAAGAGGTGCTCGACAACAAGCAGGAGTCCACACTCATTGAAATAATGGTGAGCAGTGTCAAGCAATCGGCATCGGGCGAGGTGCCCGTGGGACGTGCCAGCAATCGCAAGTTTACGCTTAGCTCCAAGGAGCTAAAGGCTATACAGGACGAGAAGGTCAAACTGACGGAGCATTTCATTGTGACTCTGCCGGCTCTGTTGGAAAAGTATCAGGCTGACAGCGAGAAATTGGCCAATTTGCTGGCTGTGCCACAGTACTTTGATCTAAATCTGTACACCACCAACCGACAGGAGGGCAATCTGCAGGCGCTGCTCGACAAAATTAGTCAGGTAATGTGCATGCACACCGGCCGCGACGTACTCGAGACTTGCGCCAAGACATTGGAGTGTCTCTGCGCAGAGGGCAGCGCCACTTACACCCGCTGCAACATCGCGCGCTCCAACATCATCGAGAATGCGGTCAACAAGTACAAGGATACCATCGTTGAGTGGCGCAATCTGATCTTGGGTGAGTAGCTGTTTAATATTGCGAAATAACATTAGCAGCATAACATAATATTAACTTAACATACGTTTAATTTACTTAAAATAGCATAGCTTAACATAACATAGCTTAACATAATTCAACATAACATAGCTTAACTTAACATAACCTAAATGTACTTAACATATATGTTATTAACATAAATGTTATTAACATAAATGTTATTAACATAAATGTTATTAACATAACTCAACTTAACAGAGGCAGATGCTGTATAAATAGGGCTGCACAGTGCGGCAGGTCCTCAGTTGAAGCTGCGCGGCGGCCCGGTGCAGATCGCGAGTTGTGGTGTTTTGTGCGTGTGTGTTGATGTCAGCTCATAGGGAGGCCCATTCTGGCCTGAGCTGCCGTTTAGTTGAAGGTGTGATGCGGCCGGCGCATATCGTGACGTGGTCTTTTTGTAAAAAGATCAATGTATTGGTGTGAGCTCATAGAGAGGCCCATTCTGGCCTGAGCTCCCGTTTAGTTGAAGGTGTGATGCGGCCGGCGCATATCGTGACGTGGTCTTTTTGTAAAAAGATCGGTGTATTGGTGTGAGCTCATAGAGAGGCCCATTCTGCCCTGAGCTCTCCTGAGCAGTTCAAATGGTAAATGCTATATATATGTTTATATTTTTTATATAGTTAAGTAATTTAAAAGTTGTCTTTTTTAATTGTTAATACTAATTTTATTTGGTTTTTATTTGCAGGCGAGGAGACACCAAATGAGGATGATATCTACAATATTACCATAACGCTAAAAGTGCTGTCAATTTTGTATTCGTCGCACAATCTGAATCCGTGGGACCTATTCAAATCCCTGTTCCGTGACGTCGAGGAGGCTCAGTGCAAGGACAATGTTGAACGTTGCCTGCCCAACGAGGCGCTGGCCTATTGCATAGAGGCCTGCTATTTCTCGATTAGCTGGGGCCTCTACTATGTCGAGAATGACTGCGAGACGCTGAATGTGGCTCAGGCAGTCGCCGAGCTGCGCGGCAACTTGGACAGCTTCATGTCCGCCTGCTTTGAGCTGACCCGCGATGGACCCACTGTGCAGATTCAAGAGGCTGTAAGTGTATTGTATTATTCATCTATATTAGCGAAATATTTAATAATATTGTGCTTTATTTTTCACAGGCCTACCAGTCCATCTGTGATTTGCTTATAATCTATTCGGATCAGTTGGCGCGCAGCGAGAGTGAGCATATACGCAGCTTGGAGTACAAGTCCCGCATGGACGAGCATCTCATATTGGACAACTTTGTGCAGCACTACGTGTTCTCGCTAAAGCAAGTTGTTGCCCAGGATGAAACGCGCATCGAGGAGCTGCACAAGAAACGCAACTTCTTGGCCTGCTATTGCAAGCTAATTGTCTACAACATAATACCCACGATGCGTGCGGCGAGCATCTTCAAATACTATGTCAAGGTATGTTGCCATACCAATCTGTTTTTGACTTGGCTTTATTTAAATCCCTTCATTTACTTACAGTGCTATAACGAGTATGGCGACATTATAAAGGCGACGCTGGGCAAGGCCCGCGAAATCAATAAGGTCAACTTTGCCATGACGCTGCTGCTGAGTCTCATCACCGTATTTAAGAGTCTGCAGGAGCAGAGCGATGATGGCGTTGTGTCAAAGAGCTCGCAGGAATTTATTGACCTAAAGGAGTTGGCAAAACGATTTGCGCTTACTTTTGGCTTCGATGCGCTTAAAAATCGCGATTCGGTTGCATCCATACATCGCGGCGGTATTTACTTTGCTGCCAATAAACAGCCCGACGATCCAGTGCGAGCACCGACTCGCCTATTGTTTCTAGAGGTGCTTAATGAGTTTAACTATAAGTTGTTGAAACAGGACAAGAAGGTGATCATGGCCTTCCTAGACAAGGTCATACCGCCGGGCATGCCATCGAGCCGAGCCGAGGAATGGCAGCCCTTGATACTCTATCGCAACTCCCTGCTGCACGGCGAGACCGATCAGGCACCGGTGGCCACACGTCGTGCATACACACGCAAGCGCAGAGATCATGGTAAGCTACTGGCAATCAATACAGCTGACACAATATTTAACATTATTATTCATTTAGATGAAGATGACGAGGAAGAGGAAGATGAGGAGGAACACAATGATCCCGACTATAGAGGCTGAACTGTCCTCTAGGGTAATAAAAAATAATATAAAATTAACAACTCATTCACAATTATAGGAATAAAATGTAACTTAAATTTGAACGTATTATTAATTCAGAAAATGTGACAAACAAAGAGTAGAAAATGTAAAGTTTTATGAAAATCCGTTAATTTGGCCAAAAAGGGATATACATTTTAATTCAGATATATTTTGGACTCCAATACTTGTACTTTGTCAAACAGAGCTTGGCAGAAGTTAAAGAGGGACACACTGATTGGTCTTGGCTGCCAGGTTCCAAGATTATGCCGATTGGCTAAATTTGCCTGAAAATAATTATTATTCTTCAAATCAAAAGGCCTTAGTATACTTAACAAATGTGGCTCATTAAAAATAGCTACTGGTTATTGAGTCCTTATAATTTAGCAAGCTAATATTTTATTTAAATAATAAATTCATAAAATAACTAATCTTGCCCTAGAGCCTCAAAGTTAGCTTTGACAAACAATATTTTTGAAACATTTTCGGGACACAGACCCGATTGCATATCACTAAAAAGGTTTTTAGATACACCGAATAAACGCTCGCTGGCAATACTAGCGGCAGGAGTGGATAGATATCGTCTTACAATTGGAAACATAGCGCTATACTTATTATTGGATCGCCACCAAATTAATGGATCGCTTTGGCGCTCAATTCTGGGTTCGGAGTTGTACAAATACAACAAGTTTTTCAGTTGCGATTGGGAATGAAACGATGTCGAGGGTTCCGAACTGGAGTCGGATGGTGTGAGCATGTTGTCAAGAAACGAGTCAATCTTCGATTCGTTTTTAACATTGGGAACAACTTTAACAATCTTCATTGGTGGCTGCCATTGTTGAAGCTGGGATCTGCACAGTTGTGTCAAGACCTCATCTGTGACCAGCTGCGCCTCCTGCTGCGTAAAAAACGCTTGCTTGTAACGCGGATCCAAATATGTGGCCATCAAATATTTGATATCTGTGGTAACTGTGGAGCATTTTGATTCCAGCTCCTCGAGAAGCTTTCGAGCAAACGAGCAAATGGTCTGTAAGAAATTAAATATTTATACACATTTATATATATAATATTTATAGGAGAACATTACCACCGAAGACACAAAGTTGTGCACATCTGTGCGAAGCGAATCCCGCAGAGCTGCTATTAGCGGTATGACAGAGGATGCTGTCGCTGAGGTATCACTCCAAATACTGATAATTTCTTCAATGGGTTGGATGACACGATTACCCAAATCAATATCCAGCCATTCATCCGGATACACTTTTCCCATATTATATTCTTCTGCATAAACTGAGAGAGCATCTTTTAGTTTGAGCAAGCGAGCTTTTAAACGAAATATTGCATTCCAGCCTAACTGGGATTCATTGGACTCCATTAATGGAAATGGCTCGCGATTCAAACGCCTCTCGTGAATATATTTCAAATTATTATATGCAATGTGGGATTGTTCAAAGTGTTTGGCGATTTGTAGACATTTGGCATCCAATTGCTGCAGGTGCTCATTCGACTCAATTGCACATTTCACACACAGTTTTAGCAGATGAACACTGCACTCGACGACAGCGCCCTGTGTGCAGGTGCCTTCATCTCTAATAATGCAGTTAATCTTCTCTTTGGATAGCTGCAGCTCGTGGATGGCATTGGATATCATGTTGGGAATGCGGCACGCCACTTCTTCCGTCTGTCGTTTGTCCAGGGCTTCGCATTTCAAGTGCAAATGCTTGGGCTGAAAGTCACTGAATATGCCATGACAGCTTAGGCTGAGCAAGCCTTGGCCGGCTGATCCCCACCAGATGCTTGTTGCCAGCGACACGGACTCCAGCATGACCAGTTGTTGCTTTAATTGCGCCAGCATGCGCTGATATATGTCTTGGCATATCATATTCTCATAATAGCTTATGGTATTAATTGTATATCGCGGCTGTAGTACCTTGATAAAGTTAACAAATCCAACAGCTTTTATCAAACTAAAGGAATAATCATGCTGGGCTATCATTGAGGCCAATTTCTCATCGCACGCATAAGCTTCGTCCGAGTCGATGGGCCTTTGGACTTCCAATGGATCTGTATCCTGGAAAAATAGAAATTGTTTTTAATGAAACTGCGAATATCGCTTCAAGGTACATTTCGTTTTTTTACGTGTAACTGCAAGTTCGTGTTGGCGGTTGCGCTATCGTTTATTTCCGTTTTCACCATGTACTTCATGTCGTTTTCGGACAGTGTTAGAAATTCGGCAGGATGCTTGCTCTTTAAATGATTTCGCAGACATGTTGTGCCGCGGCCCTTGCGTGAATAGTTTTTGTGGCACAGGCAACAAATTGCGACAGTATCGCTTTCTTTATAGAAAAAGTTCCAAACGCGACTCTTTTTGCTCATTATTTAATTTGCGGATACTCCGCTTTACATCCGTTTCGTCGTAGCCCTAATATACAGCTTACGATAACACAAAACGATTACGATAAATGCTCGATTGGTCGGATTTAGTGTTGCCACCCTTGCTACATATTTCTATCGCGTTTCTTCCATCACTATCATTGCCATTTGGCGCGCACGCGACAGCAGCAGTCAGTAATTATTTGTTTATTTGTGCGATGCCTTGTAACACGGAATTGCCAAGCTCTCCAGAGGAGCTGACGAATCAAGACAGTGCCCGCTGGAAAGAATTACTTAACGACTCCACAAAATGGCACTCCATTCCACTGCTAAATCACACGCCACTGCACAAATTGCGGGATCAGGGACTGGTTCGTTTTCGCGGCATGGTGCAGGACATGATGGATCCAGAAATCTATTTGGAGCGCTACGAGGTTAAATCAGCCGACGGAAGCACACGTCTACAGCCAGGCAAATATCGCGATTGTCTTCGGCTGGGCAAGGATGAGCAACTGGACTACCAAGCCGAGAGCAATGTGCATGGCGAGCGGCGTACATTGTTCGTTGTGTCGGTACCTGGCTTAAATGACTGGGCCAAAGACCATGAAAAACTGTGCAACCCGCAATCAGAGAAGCTAACAAGTCAACAAACAGTTGTTGGAAATGGTATAAAACGCACGCTTGATGAACAGGAAGACATGGAAGTAGACAAAGCAGATGAATCAAGCGGCATTAGCTCACCAAAAAGGCAATGCGTGGAAGTTGAGCCTAAAGCGGAAACTACTGCCAGCAGCTCCGCCGTGCTAGGCACTGACTATTTGCTCAACTCGCCGCTGCCCGATCGTCCAAGCATGGCCTGCATGATAAAGGTGTACGAAGACTTTGACAAGTACACGCTAAACTCTCTTATGGATTTCGTGGGCTTTCTGTCCGTGGATCCAGCGCTGGACGCATCCACGCTGGATGTTGAGGCCATGAGGGATGTGGAAAGCTTAAGTGAGCTACAGGCACAGAATCCATCGCCGTTCCTAATACCACGCTTGCATGCCTTTGGCGTCAAGTCGTTGTGCCATGCTAATCCGCTGCTGGATCAGAGTCTGCAGCAGCCCGCAGTACCAGAGCTGGGGTTGACGCAACAATCCCTGGAAACTGTACACAAGGACCTGCGAATGCTGCTTAAGCTCTGCCTATTTGAGGACGAGCTTGCCGCCGAATATCTGCTCTGTCATCTCATCTCTACGGTTTATAGCCGCTCCGAAATGCAGAGCATAGGTAAGTTTGCACTAAACATCTGCAATCTGCCCAAAGAATGCATGCAGCAGTACACAACAAAGCTATACGAGGTGATTGAGCTACTGCTACCCGCCAGCCACTATCTACCCATGACACTGGACACCATGAATACGGCCGCCTTTGCACCAAAGTAAGTTACCACCGATCCATTAACTCGTTGAATAACTTATTGAACTCTTTTTTTTTCTGCCAACAGAAAGGATTACGAGACAAACAAGCTGGTTTCCGGGCTGCTGCAGCTGGCACCCCACACGCATCTGCTGCTGGACGAGACGCGCATGCAGCAGGGCAAGCTGGAGGCAAATGGCGTGCATGCCATACAGCATCTGGCCAATCTGATCAACAATCAGCAGTTAAAGTGCGACTTTCAGTATTATCAAATAGACTACAACGTTGATATTCCGGTGCTGGTGCTCAGCGAGGGTCGCAGCATATTACCGGTAGGCAATGACAACTCGCACAGGATACATAAATAGAAGTTATTAAGCACTCCTTTTTTTTACAGAGCGACTTTGTGCTGCCCATTAATGCCGATGGCAAAGCTATCGAGCTGTATGAGGAATCTCTGAAGGCAGCTCTGCACTATTTGCAGCCAGCGCGGCTGCAGCAGTTCCGCAACTATTTGACCATGTCGAGGATCAGCCAATTCAGCGTGAGCGAGGAGCATACGAAAATGATACAGCAGCACTTTGTGGACATGCGCAAGGCGAATGTGAAGAGCAATGCTGATGATTTGCATGGTCTGTTGGTTTTGTCCCGTCTTCTGGGCATTGCGCGCGGCAACGGGGCGCTGGATAAGGAAACCTGGCACCTGGCCACCGAGTTTGAATCAAAACGTCGCCAGCGGCTGCAAGCATTGCCCAAGTCAAGCGTTCCCATGCGCAATTAGGTACCCCCAATTCAATACATAAATATTTATTTAAGTATATTTTTTTGATATTTTATTTTTCTCCGGTTCGTACAGTTTTTTGCGATTTTTTATCAACTTTCCGCGTTCCCCTCAGATTCTGGAAGGCGGCAAATTTGTTACGTCCATTTATGTACCACAATGTCTCCTGATAACTGGATGGGAGCACCTCTTTGACTTTCCCTTCAGCCTTATAAGTGAGATGCAGGACGTTTGTTGTAATCTTTACCATACTGTTCGCATCCAAGGCTTGCACAATTGTCAAAAGTTGAATATATCTTTCGAATGTGTACACAACATAGGCGGTCACTTTCAGGAATGAGTTCACCTTCAGCGGCCTGTAAAACGCAACGTCCATGATGCACTGGATCAAGGGCCGACCGCCAGCATGAATACAGGCGGCAATGAAGCTAATTTCGACAGCGGTGCGCATGACGAAGCCGGCAAAAATGTAATTGTTTGAATTGCGATTCTCGGGGAACGCATGCAACATGGTCGTTTGAAAGGATTCGGACATCCACTTGCAATTTGGTGGCAATTTGACGGGCATATTCACGCTCAATGCGTCCGTACCCCGAGTCCGCTTGAAGGTCTCGTACATGAGCTGTTCATCGCTCGATGTTGGTTTCACATTGAGCACAGACTTGGATTTCTTGGCCGTTCGTTTCTTTTGCCGCTCGATGGAGTTCTCAAAGCACAGTTGCTCCTCCTCGTTGGCGGGTTTTAGAGCATTAACTGGTGCTGATCTCGTATTTGTCGCATTACGCGCAACCATCATAATTATGGCTTTGGCTACGGTTCGCATTTTCTGTCGCATGTATATTGTCAACTCCATGGAGCTGTTGCCGGTCCACGAGACGTGACCACACAACTCAATGTCTTCAAAAGCCGAGATTTCATTGATATTCGTAAAGTCTACGCTGTCGTACAGGAACGTAAAAAAGTTATAGGGCACCGGAATGCCCTTTGGCAATGTCGGGATACATAGATGACGATGACAGATCCACACTGCAAACGTGGCATATTTAAGCGTCGTGTTAGCGGCTCTCAAATGCATTTGCTTACCGGCGAACAGATCCAGCTCCTCCATTAAACGGCCCATGCGGACTAGACCCAGATGGTTGACATAGCGCTCCCGGATCGGAATTGTACTCAGTGGCAATACGGCAGTTGTAAAGGAGTCTTTCATGCTGCGCTCCGGCAGATCCTTTCGCTCCGGCTGATACTTTAGTAGATTGGCACGGCACTTGGGTATGGTATAGTAGCCCGGTTCCAAACCGATTTGAGCCTGAATACCCCTAACCACTGCAAGGCATCGTATCAATAGAGCAGCTGCACGGGAAAATTCGCTGACATTTACCATCTAACATTGTGCCAGAACAGTGACCCGACTGGAAGGCCTCAAATTCGCAGCTTCCATCCCCCTTTTGAGCATTGTGAGACCGATGTAAATTCAGTAAATGGCAAACACATGTTTTATAGATTGGTTTAAGAATACGTTGGACCGAGTACGGCGATCCTGGAGCTCTGAGCACGTGGGCCATCCAAAAGAATCAGCTAAACGCATCGAATAGAATTTAGAGGGATATTCCAAATACTACTACTACTCATTTTATTTTTGTGGAAGACCACAAACCAGGTATCCATAACTTTTTTAATACAAAAAAAAATAGAATATTGCCTCCCTATGTGATTCTCAGAAATTCAAAAGGATTTCTCGCTTTGATATATTTACAATCCTGTTCATACTCCATACTTTTTCCTCTCTTACTTTATTTTGCTTTCTCCTTTTACTCTTATTATCACCCGCTGCCTATTTCCTTGCTTCTTTTTACCTCCAGTTACTGAAAGGCAGTACAAATAATCGTTTGTGGGTAACTGGCCAATAGTTTGATAAGAATTCGAGGGAGGCCGCAATATTGCTATGCCGAAAGTGAAAATTTGCACGATCATCATTATTTTCTTGAAGCTTATTTCGAAGCTTCATAGATCAAATTGATGACGTTTATCATAATTGTGAAATAAATAAAAACAACAATTCTTGACTAGAAAATACCCAGCACTTTGGTCTGATCACTATCACATCAGCTTATTATATGCTAACAATAGTCAAAAGAATTTTAATTCAAGTTTTGCCCGATTTATATCGAGCATAAGGAGATTTAATTAATGCCACAAGCCTGTGCTGAGGTATACAAAATGCACAATCACCGTTATTAAAAGTGGGGTGAGAAATGCTGTTGCAAATTTCACCACAAATCAGAATAGCCTCTGCCAGAGTTGAAAACCGCGCTATCATCGTTATATGAATAAATGCTCACTTGAAAGCTTGCAAAAGCTTTGGCATTAAGCTTTGTAAATCTTGCGGCTGACGCGTACACACATATAAGGCATAAAAGCTGTGGTTAGTGTTAGTTTAATTGATTGCGTTGATGCGTTCCCACACCCACAGCAAGATGTCGAAGATCGTGCTATATGGAATTATTATGTCTCCGCCGGTTCGTGCCTGTTTACTAACACTTAAAGCACTGGATCTGCCATTCGAATACAAGGAGGTTAAACTTGCCGAAGGCGAGAACCGCACACCGGAATATTTAAAGAAAAATCCACAAGGCACAGTGCCGCTGCTGGATGATAATGGAACTCTTGTATGGGATTCACATGCCATATGCATGTACTTGTGCGACAAGTATGCCAAGACGGATGCACTTTATCCCAAAGAATTGGTAAAGCGCGCTGGCGTCAATCAACGTTTGTTCTTCGATGCCAGTGTGATCTACAAGGCCTTGTGGAATGTTAGCAGTGTGTTCTGGATGAAGGGAATCACCGAGGTCTCAAAGGAGAAGACCGACAATGTTCACGAGGCGCTGCGGCTAACCGAGGTTTTGCTGGATAAGCCATATATCGCGGGAGATTCGTTGACCATTGCAGACTTCTGCTGTGGCGCAACTGTCTCATCGTTGCCAGCTGTTTTCGACATTGATCCGCAGCGATATCCAAAGATCACCGCTTGGCTCCTCCGTCTCGGTGAGCTGCCATACTATGAGGAAGCCAACAATGTGGGCGCCAAGCAATATGCGACATTCATGAGAAGCCAGTGGACGAAAGTTGAGCTGTAAGAGAATTTGACAGCACCTCGTTGTCTATGTATTATAAATAAATTACCATATATTCTCTTACACCTAACGTTTATATTAAGCCGTGCATAATACAATAAATATGCATTGAAGTACGCATACTCGAAAATGTTTTCGCGCCATTGTCAATAAAACAAGACATGTGTTGTTTAATTTGCAGCTAAAAGCTAAGAACTGCATACCATGCCCAAACATTACCATCGATATGAATATTTGTTATCGATAGGTGAAGCTCATCGATTTATTCGCAGCATAAACCAACGAAAGATAGTATAAACAAAATGAGTAAAAATAACAAAGTTGTCTGGACCGATGAGATTTTGTTTTTTATAATAAAACATGTGAAAGTGGCGCCGTTCGTTTGGGACCACTCCCATCCACAATTTGCATATAAATCAAAAAAGGCAAAATTCTGGTCACTGCTAGCAGAAAAAGTCAATGCCTACGGTGGATTTTTTTCAGCCACACCAATTACAAAGGGTTAATTAAATAAAATTGTTATTTTGAAAAAAGCTGCATATTAAAGTAATTATATTATGATTCTAGAGGCATTGCAAAAGAAATGGACAAACATGAAAACATACTATTTGTTCGAGGAGAGCAAATCAAGGAGAATCGGAGCAGATGCAGATAATTTCAGTACCACCTGGAAATTTAGGTCAACATTATCGTTCTTAAGTTCAGCTCTGGACACACCAGCATCTCGACCACAGCAACAACCAATAACATCGGAAGTTAGCACATGTGGCGGCACAATTCTACCTCCCAACCCAAGTGAGAGTAGTTTTGATCTATCCGAAGATGATCCACTTGCTACACAGGACTGCCTGCCACCAAATATTACGATAAAAACAGAGGAACCGTCAGCCGAAGATCCGCCAGCGTTAAGTGAGCATGAGAATGAAGAGGAAGAAGAAGAACCATTGTCACCTGTTAGAAAAAGACCAAAAGAGGCCCCAATCATGGAAGTGCGAACACCTAGGAAAGCACACAAATCATATTTTTATCATTATGGCATGACTGTTGCTCAGGATTTGGATCAATTGGATGAGGATTACAAAATAGATGCTAAACTGGAAATAATGCAAATTATTGCCAAATACAAAAGAGAACAATTTTTGAATCAAACCGACAGTTAAAATAATAAAATTTAAAAAAAAAGATCATGATTTTCAATTTGATTTGGAAACTGAGCCAGTTTGTTTCCCCTGTTGAGAATGCGTGCACAAAACGTAATAGAATATGCTAACCACAACAAAAAGCAAAAAATATTATTTGTGATGTTTCACAACACTGGCAATCGCTTGCGAATCATCGTTAGTTATCGATAACCACATCAACAGCTGTGAACAGCAGCAGCAGCAGTCCAAGCAGCAGACTTCAAAGGAAACTTTCTGCTCTGCACAGCGTAGCTATTAGTAGTATAAGAGTGTATAAGAGGCGAGCATAATTTCAAATATACATATGTATATGCTTCTAGTGACAAAATCAATTGTGTAAAATATTATTTTGTTTATTAATGTAATAAAAGCGCAATAACAACCGAATCAGCGGGCAAAGGTGCCGACAAGCACAAACACGCAAGCTGCGAAAGCTGTGCGCCAAATCAATTTACGGCGCACAACGTAACGCGAAAATCGATTTCAGTTTTCGTCTGCTGTTTTGCCAGCAGCTGCTGCTGTATGCATTCAATTAATGTAGAATAGTACAATTAATTTCATTCCACCTTCACACAGCAAGTGCAAAATGCAGACACACACGGCCCCAGTGAGGAGGCCCCAGGTGGATCGCTGCTGGTGGCACAGCTCGCTGCGGCTGCTCACGGTCTGTGCCCTCATCGCTGGCTGCAGTGCGGCCGACACGGACATAACGCTCGATGCGAAAGCGACGCTCAATCATCGCATACAAAGTCTCGATTTGCTGGTATTTGTATTCCTGCTGGCCCTAACTGTGCTAACCATTTGGCTATTCAAGCATCATCGCGTTTCCTGGCTGCATGAGACCGGATTGGCTGTTATTTATGGTAAGCGAATCGCCACTCGAGCTTGGCTTATTTATCTCTATATACGCCATTTGTTGGCTTTTATAATTATCATTCATTCTGGATTCCGTCATTTCTTTCTATTCGCCGCGTCGTCATTTTGACCCTGTCATTGCCAACTGCAGCTTTTATTGTCGCCTCTTGGTTTTTCTTGCATTCGCAACATGCCTCACGTACACATGTACACACTTTTACACATATACATATATATATGTATACATGTATATATAAATGTATTTGAATACGTATTTTTACACCTAGTGTGCACAGCCCCCCTCCCCCGCTCCTATAAAACATAAAAACAAAACTGGCCTCTGTAATCGGAACAGTAAAGCTTTCAAGGCCCGCATATTGTACAAATAAACGGGCTGATGTTATACGAACCTGAATTTGGAGACTCTGATTACACATGACGTCGCAAAAATTCTTTAGTGCACCTTCTGTTTATTCCTAAAAACATTATTATTAGCAATTATAAAACTCAAACATATGCATATTTATGTGCATATTTATACCCTGAACCCATTAAAAATGGGTATAAGGGTATATGTGCGAAAGCCAAATGTATGTAACAGGCAGAAGGAAGCATCTCCGACCACATAAAGTATATATATTCTTAATCAGCATCAATAGCCGAGTCGATCAAGCCATGTCCGTCTGTCTATCCGTCCGTCCGTATGTATGAACGCAAGGATCTCAGAACCTATAAGGGCTAGAGACTTGAAATTTTAGATGTAGATGCTCCTAGCTCCCGCGCAGATCGAGTTTGTTTCCGATAATCGATAAAAATCGATATCGATATCCTGTTTTTTGGGCAATTTTGGTAAATAATAAGAGCTAGAGTCATATGCTCTAAAATAGAATATGTATATGCATTTGATGTTGGAAGAAGAGGGTTCAGGGTATCACCTAGTCGGGAGCTCCCGACTAGAACCTCTTACTTGTTTTATTACAGTGCACATTCGCTAAGGTACATAACGGTAAATCAAAGTTGCTGCTGATTTTATAGCGCCATAAATTTATGAATCAGTTGCTATAAAGTTTACAAGTGCACTTTAAGAAAAATTATCAACAATTGAGAACAATTATCAAATTACAAATCCAAGTAAAAACAAATTGCAATTAAAGTGCAAAAATTTTTAGTTATTATTTAATAAATCTCCACTTCTGTCAAAACTCAGTTTACAATATTTTTTTTCATTAATTTAGTTGCAAATTTGAATTATATTTGTCGATTAGAAAAATGTCTATGCTTCATAAGAAAAGTGTTTTTCACAAAGAGAACTTTTCATACTACGCTCATTTAATATTTAACAATGTTGAAAATGTTCTTTATTTCATAAGAAACTATGCAAATAATACTACAGCTCTTTGATCAAACATTTTCTAACGTATACTTTCTAAACAAATGAAAAATTTAAGATAATATATGCACTGCAGTAATAACACAGCATGCGAGAGATTTAATTGCGGTCTTTTGATCTTAGATATACGTTTAATTAGGCATGCCGCTTTGCAATAATAATTAATTGAACAAGTTTAAAGCAATTCACTCTACCGAATCCTCACTGTATGCACACAGGTGCCTCACAAGCGCATATGTTGTTCGATTTGGTTTTTCCCCTAGCTTTAGATTTCGAATAAACTCTGTCATCGATGCCAACGACGGGAAATCAAATACTTACTAAGTTTAGTTGTAAATCTCAGGAGCGCAATTCTAAAGCTTATTAGGGAGCTTCTATGTGGCCACGTGATTTGTCCATGTCAGGCGTTAGTATTTGTTTTTTCCTGTCGCACGCAATGAAAATAATTAAATATGCTAATTAGAGAGTGTATCTAAATTGGCGTAAGCTCCAATAAAAACCCAAATCGGATTGCCCATGAAATGGGCTGTGTACTGGCAAAATAAATTAATAATAAAAAAACAATACAATGCAGATAACACGCAACTGTTTGGCTGGCTGATAAGCATTCTCTTGTTTTCAGCGAGAATGAGTCAACATGTCAAGTATTTCTTGTTCCACAGTTGTTTTACACGATCTTATCAGACTGGCAGACTGCCAGCTCAGACGACAACACACATCGCCCATTCATTAGTCATTTTGAAAACGGGCTTTGCGATAGGTCAGGCAGTAATTAGATAGGCTTATGGCAAAAGCTGGAAAAACACATTTGAATCGATTTGGTTGGACCTTACAATTGTGCCCGTATCAGTTGAACTTATTCAATGCCTGATTATGATGAAACTAAGCCTATTTCTATTCATATTCTCATTTTGCTTATAATCTGCAGTTGCTAGTTGAACATTTCTTTTATAGATATTGAATGGGTTGCTATCAAGGAAAAACCTGTTTTATTTACCCACTTTAATAAATAATAAAACGGTTTTTATTTAACCATTTTCCAACTTATTTTGTCAATGAAAGTGTTCGAGTTTGTAAAGCATGTATTTAAAACTAATTGGAAAATGAATGGAAATGAATGAAAATGGAATGTACGGGCCCATACGACAATATTTTCCGACATTTCCCATCCTTATAGTTGACATTTTGCTAAATTTATGCCATATATCTATTCATAGATATATTTTCGCCAATCTGACACAAAGCTCTTCGTTATATTCGCATCGTGATTAATTGTCTATTCAATTGCAGGCTTAATTGTTGGTGCCATCATACGATATGCTGGCACAAATACCACGCTGGTGCACATGCAGGTGGAGCCGCAGGGTATACCCACATATAATGCCAAGTTGCCACCGGACACGCTGTGGTTTAAGGTGAGTGCAGTTGCAAGAGACACGCCGTTTGCTTATGCAATTTAAGTCAATTGTAATTGAATTTGTTTGCTTTTGTTTTGCTCAGTATCCGGTTAATCAGACAAACGCCACAAAGCTGCCCGAGGGCGTGAAGACATATGCTTACGTGTTTCGTGGACAGGTCTACGATATCGAGGAGAATGAAATTGATTTGAAGGCCACATTCGATCCGGAGGTCTTCTTCAATATCATCTTACCGCCCATTATATTCTATGCTGGCTACAGCTTGAAAAAGGTTTTTCAATTCAAATGAATGCACAAATATATGCAACTGATTTACGTTTATTGTCTTTTGCAGAAATACTTTTTCCGCAATTTGGGCGCCATTCTGACTTTTGCCATTGTGGGCACCACCTTGTCGGCGTTCCTAATCGGTGGCGTGATGTACGGCTGTGTTAAGCTGATGCCAAATTACTTGAGCAGCAGTTTCACATTTCTGGACACACTGTATTTCGGGGCACTGATATCGCCCACAGATCCGCTCACCATACTGGCCATATTCCATGATCTGCACGTCGATGTTAATCTCTATGCGCTTGTATTTGGCGAATCCGTTCTGAACGATGCCGTTGCCATTGTCTTGAGCGGGTAAGCTCATTAGCTCATATTAGCTATATTCAATTCACTATAGATCATTATTATTATAACGATTTGTTTTTCCTAACCATTTTTATGGGTATATATCTTTCTTTTGTTTGTAAATGCGCAGTCACATTTAATTAATTATCAGCTTCACTGCATTAGTTTTTATCGTTTATATATATATTTATAGTGCCATACAAAACTACGGCGAGCATTATTCGAATACTGGAGAATTTGAGACGACGGCGTTTCTTCGCTCGCTGAGCGACTTTTTCTGTATCTTCTTCTTGTCGCTGCTAATTGGCGCCGTCATGGGCTGTTTTACAGCATTGATATCCTTTTTGAAACACAACACAAATTATATTAATTATTATATGCATAAGTTTAGTCCATTTTGGTTCCTTAACTCCTGCCACACTTGACCAAGTTTACGCGCGTTCGTGATTTCCCGCTGCTGGAGTCGGCGCTGTTTGTGCTCATGAGCTACAGCACATTTCTGCTGGCCGAGGCCACGGAGTTGACCGGCGTGGTGGCCGTATTGTTTTGTGGCATCTGCCAGGCTCACTACACCTACAACAATTTGTCCGAGGACTCGCGACAGCGCACCAAACAGATCTTTGAGCTGCTCAACTTTCTGGCCGAGAACTTTATATTCTCGTACATTGGCGTCTCGATGTTTACATTTCCCAAACATCATTTCGATGCTGGCTTCATAATAACCGCTTTTGTAAGTTCGTATTCAAAATTATATTGATAAGTCAACTAATTCAATTTCTCTTGTAGATTTGCGCCGCATTGGGACGTGCTGTCAATGTCTATCCTTTGTCCTGGCTGCTGAACATTAAACGCAAACCAAAAATCTCATCTAATTTCCAGCACATGCTATTCTTTGCTGGTACTTTCGCGCGGAATTCGAATCTCCTCAGTGCTTAATTGTCCATTTGTTTTTATTAGGTTTACGTGGCGCCATGTCCTTTGCCTTGGCCATTCGAAATACTGTGTCCGATGCGCGCCAGACCATGTTGACAGCCACATCGCTAATTGTCATCTTTACGGTCATTATACAGGGCGGCGCGGCTAACTTTTTTCTCAACTGGTTGAAAATACCGTGAGTTAAATGGTGCCTCAAAAAAAAATCAATAATTTCTCAATAGACAATTCCTGATTGCAGCGTTGGCGTCGATGATGAGACTGAACAATTGAATAACTACCAGGTTCACAGTGTGAGTATCTACTTTCCACAGACAATCAGTTCACTCGATTTGATATCATTTAATATAAGAGCTACTTAATTTAGTTTGGGGAATGTGTTGACAAAAAGCTTCTATTTTAGTTAGTTGGATAACAATTAATATAACAATAGATTGAGCCGGTTCATAATCTCTTAGTATTGTGGTCTGAAGCGAAATTCGGAGACAATTCCTTTTTCAATTCGCGCATATTTCATGGCAAAATAGTATCATTTATTGGCATCCGCTGCAATTGTCCTGTTACTTGGGAAAATTCACAAATATGGGATTCTATGAATTACGACTTTGGGTCAAGAACGTGTCTCTCATCTAAGCTTGGCAGCAAATCCAAATTCTTGTAATTTTCGGTGGTTCGGCTTAAGGTTTGAGCCAGCTCTTTTTTTTAATTAATTTAATATGCATATTTTCCGCCTTGGCTCGTCTTATTTTATGTTTACGTTTCCAAATTGAAAACTAAACAATTAAGTTTATTATATTTACATTATTTCAATTGCAATTCATCTTAAGATATTTACTAAAAACATTTAAAAGCGCAATTATAAAGAATAATTATTAAAATAATGTGTATTTGTTAAATAACGATTCGGGTTAATCTTGTTAATCAATTTTAAATATTTTAATTTCCAATCAATATGCTTTTATTTTAAAGGAGATTTGTTTGATTTTGTATTTTCAACTTTATATTTTAAAAATTCATGCTATATCGCAAAATCAACCATCTCAGGAATAGGTTATTTTACTAGGACGTGAACCGAATCCATATCTCTTCAGATCCCAATGCACAAGACTATTTCCCACTATTTGAATAGAAAGGGATAAGCTGGAATCTCAGAAACCGTTTTGCTTTGGGGAATTCATAATCCTATTCATTCCAAATAAGTACGTTCGCGCTCAGCGCAACCGATTAAAGTCGGGCGAAAACCTAGATACAATTTTCCGATGTTCTTTAAAAGAGTTCTCTCTTCTATATGATAAGATTAACGAGTAGTTAAATCGAAAATTGAACGGGCATTTGTTTTGATTTGAAATGCATTTCTGATTCGGTTTTTGGTCATACATGAAAAACGTATTCTCTAACCTATTTATTTTGTACTATTTTGCGCAATTCACGCCATTTTCCATCCATCAAAACAAACAAACAAAAAAAAAGGTTTACAATTCCATGGATAATTCACATTCGGCTCCGGTACGTTGACAAATAATTCCATTCAATTGCAAATTTATGTGTGCTTCTTTCTCGTCCTTTGTTCGCAAATAACAGACACACAAACACACACACGCACACACACACACACACACACATTTAGAGAATTAAGTTTTCCAATTTTGTTTTTTAGTTATTTTAAGTTTTTTATAGGCATTTTCTTTTGGTGCTGGTACTTTTAGTAAAACACATACACATACACAACGCGCTAATCTTGTCTCGTTGAAATTTGTTCAGTCTGATGGCTATTTGCAGGACGTGGAGGGCGGCGCCGGCGCTGGGCGTGGCAAGACACGACTTTCAAGTGGCGCCGACTCGAATCTGGATACGCCGCTGGATGGCAATGCGGCGACTGCAACAATAGCAGCTGGCGGCCGGCGACGCAACAGCCATGAGAAGGCAATTCTGGCGCGGATTTGGGGCAACTTTGACACCAAGTAAGTAGCAAATAAGGTCAACTGTCGTTGCGTAGGAGTACAAGCTATTGGCTATTTCACAGATATATGAAGCCGCTGCTGACGCACTCCAGGCCCACGCTGCTGGAGACGCTGCCGGTTTGTTGTAATCCCATTGCCAGACTGTTGACCACCACGCAGCAGCTGACGCAGGTACGTGGTAGACCCTAAATAGTTGTCGCAATCAGCGCTGAACTTTGCACATACCTTTGCTTTACAGGATGGCAGCGAGTTTCGACGAGTCGACTCCGACTCGGATATTTGCATTGACAACGATACTGGCTCGAATGGGCTCAGCCAGGATGGCCTCGGCGTAGGGCGTCGCAACTCGATAAATCGTGTAAGTATTCGGTACATGGGCGATACTCAGAACCTACTTGCTAGCTACAGAAATCTTGAATGAAGCACCAAACCAAAGACTAATACCATGTAGAAAGAGCAACTAACCAAACCAAACCAAACCAAACCAATAACAAAACAAAAAAAAACCGAAGAACAACAATATCTAACTAGATATTTTGGCCAAGTAGACGCATTGTTATAAGCGAGATTTATATCGAAACTTATACAACCAACTGCAACAATTACTTACTATGCATAAAAATATATACATATATATATATATTTATTTATATGTATGTATTGCTTATGTAGCATAACAAAATTGTGATTCGTTAACTTTTTAATTATAATGATTTAACTGTTAATTTTGTACAAACAACTAAACAAGAAACGTTTTAAGAAGGAATTTTTTATTTTGTAACCCATTATTATTGTGTTGTTAATTATAATTAAATAATTATGTATTATTTAAATACGCCAAGCGATTTCTAGTCTTAATATATATCTATATATTTATTGTATATTATTTTTGTTAATATTACATACTGTTTAACTGCATGGCTAACAAAAAACAAAAAAAAAATATATAAGTACATACAAAAAACGAAATGCAAAATGTAACTTTCTCAGCGAAAATAATAATTTATTTATTTGCTGCCTGCGGCATCTTTCTTTCTATCTTTCCTCAAATCATCTAACAAATAAACAACTCATGCGGACCTTTAACCATTTAATTATTCGATTTTAACGGTTACCATCTGCTCCTACTTCTCCAAATGAAACAACAACAAACACACATTGCATCAACTCTAAAACAATAGTCAAATATATTAAACGAAACTAATCACATTGCAAACGAACTCAGCTTGGTTACTAATAATTTTATGTAAACTCTCTCGAAAACGAAACGTATTTATTAACCTTTTAACGAATTTAACAGAACAAATGAAACGATTCGTTTATTAATCAAATGTTTCGATTCTTATGCTTTTGCAATTTGTCCAATTTTTAGTTGTGCTCCTTCAATTTGTTTATTTAACGAACATTACTGACAACTAGGCAAATAACAAGACTTTGTAACACCCCGTGATAAACGAACGTATGTTGTCGGCCTGTCCGATCGCACAAATACTCATTATATGAGAACAAATCCGGTTTAGGGTATTTCCCCAATTACCTTCCGCTTGGCTTGGGAATTTATACGTATTGTTAGCTTTTTAAGGCACAAGCACCATTATTGATGAGGCTTTTTTTTCCGTATTTTATAATTATTTTTTATGTTTATGTATCTCACAATCTAATTTCTTAGAATCTAACATGCGACTAACCATGTAAGTATACAAATTATAGTTTCATTTTCATTTATTCAGCTTCTTAGATATTAATGTATGCACTTATAGTTTTTATTTGGTTTTCTCACACGTTATTTATCTTGAAATTTATTTTATAAATTTCTTCTTATAGGTTACAGACGAACATGGAAATGTTCATATCTAAGTTGATTTGTTGCTACATACATATTTATGCAATTGGTCTCATTTAAAATGAAAATTCGATTTTTATTTTAGAACTTTTTTTTTTAGTTCTTAAGACATTGTGATTTGGATTCTAGTTAACAGTCTATGCGTTAGTTTAATGAACATTTTGTTAAAAGTTATATAAAGTCAATGAGTTAGTTTATTGATCATTTTGTTAAAACTTAAATATTGATTCTTGCTTTTAAGGTGTTTTTTTTTTTAAAATAAATTTACATAATTGTTTATATTATTTAATTATCTAGAATAATTATTTTTCTTTTTCCATGAAGGGATATATAAAGAATTTTACCCTAAGCTGTAATTAACATGGAAACACAGAAAATTGAATATGTGTAAAATTTTAATATTAAATAAAATACTCATAGCTTTATTATATTCCCATTTTTCTTTTTATTTGAAACCGCTGCTACATTTTATTGCAACTGAAAATCAAATATTTATACATTTTACAAATTATAAAACTGTTCTTCAAAATCGTACCAAAACACAAATGTTTAGATGGAAATCCTGGAGCATGTTCAAAGTCCGGTATCGACCAGAATCAGGCTATTAGGATTTTATGGCAAGAAGTTATAGGAACTATAGAAAAACTATAGAACTATATAGAAGAACCCCTTCTGTGTTTTTTTTTACCGTAGTTTTACATTTCTATTGACATACTATTAAAACATAGAGAATGCTTTCAAAATTGCCGAACAATAATTAGTGTAAATAAATATATTTTAAACTGCTTTAGATATGTATTTGCGTTTTTAAAATTATACAAAATTTTGCAAAACATTTACATATATATTTTGTTCATGTATATTAATGTGTAATTCGCGGTGTTTGCACGATAAAAATACACAAATGTAAGAATATTCGGTTTTAATATTCAATATTCTGTCTATTAAACACTATTAAAACATACTTGATTTTAATTAAAGAAAAACTCTTATAGACATTGAAAATATTAATTGTTGTGCTATTAATTTGTAAGTTTCAAATCAATAAAACCGAAAAATAAATGACTATGAAGCGCTTTTTATAACAATATCGAAATGTGGTGTGTCTCCATAAAATATTCAAGTATTTACGTTTCCTCGTCTTATTTTAAACTTGCCGCCTTCGCAATATGTATCGATAGTTACCTATCGTTTTAAGCTTGGTACCCATCTCCCTTCTAGAGTTGCCAATAAAAACGTTATGATGTGTTACTTTGCTGTAAAGCGAAAGATATATAGAAATATTAAAATACAATCACCACAAAATTCAGTTTTTATTTAACAATTTGATAATTAATAACATAAAAAATTGCAAAAGCACATATGCGAGAAATTTTGCACCCTAGCCAGCATACTAGTTGCATATCGATACCAATGCAGCCCTCGCTAGGCGCGTCGCTTTATTTACGTAGTTTAGTCTGCAAGTCTGCAATTAAACAAACCCAATGTTTAACAAATAGAAAACTATTAGTTAAAAAGCAAAATGGATATGGTAAAGCGAGCATTTTTACGCGCCTGCATAAATCACAGCTGCCTTGATCATGATCAAATTGATAAGATATTGATTCCGCTTTGCGAGCATCATCAAGTGACAAAGCCCGCGAAAAAGGAGGCTCTGCACGACTTCGTTAAGGATATTGAAGGCGCTATAAAGGAGCTCAGTCAATCGTTGAGCTTCATGAAACATCCCATAACGGGCAAGGAGTACTTGGTGTTTGCCATAACGGACGCAACGCCCGATAAACAGAATCATCCGGGACTCACAGCTGAGGAGTGCCTGTATTTTTCGAATCTTTTGGACAAATTGGGTCAGCAGGAGGATTGCCACATTGCGTGGAACGAGGCATATTCTGACTTGGACTTCAAGGGATCCACGAAACCGCCCAAGAAGCTGCGCATGCAGACACTGCTCCAACTCTGGACCGAAATGGGCTACTTTCTCGAATCGGACGACAGACTGTATTTGGGTCCACGCAGCATCGTCGAGTTCGAGTTCTACTTGCGTTCCAACTACGCGGAGACGATAAAGGAATGTGCTCTCTGCAAGCAGCTGGTGCTCTGGGACATCAAGTGCTCCGATTGTGGCCGGAAAATCCATAGAGAATGCATACGAAAGTATTTGCGCACCCGCTCCAATTGCCCGACCTGTGGCAACAAGTGGGCCACGCGGCTTAGTCAATAATAATCTGCAAAGAGATTTCACAGATAGAGTATGTATTTTTTTAGAAATTCATAATAATACACATTTTTAAATACTAAGATCAACGGCCAGTTCCAAAAGATTGTTATCTATTAAAATTTAATAAATAATATATAGAGATGATGTGGCAGGAAAAACTTGAACGAAGCAAATATTTTCATAAACGTACTGACAGGTCCGGCATACCCTCAGGCAGGGTATTCAAAGAAACTGACAGAGAACGAGTACAGTTACTTGGGCAAAGCTTATCAGATTTGAGTCGCAGGCAAATCGAAGACCTAGAGAATCGAAGATAAATATGGCGTTGACGAAAAATGTGCATCAGTTGAATGTTAGTCTTCGTTATGGATGTGTGTGAACGTTTAAGTAAAAATTATCTGATGGACCAAAAAGACGTGCGCGCCTTTGTGAAGGGGCGTCGCATCGATTGGCAGCATGAAGTCTACCAGGTGCATTGACAGGTAAACGACTCTGATAAAACACAACTTTTAATTGCAATTCTTTACTTAGAACAAGCGAAATGCCAGCCCGGAATTCAGCTTCGGCGATCGATTCATACCCAAACGCTTTAAGGCCGAGTGCATTGATTACAATCTGAAATATCTGGGCAAGACGAAAGAGCAGGATCTTCTGAAAATGGTGAGCACCTGCAAAATAGCACAAGTATTTGCCTTAATATCTTTTTCGATTCAGAATCTAACACAATCGTCGAGCTATTGGCGCCAGGGCAGCTTCGTGTCCGCCATAAACAATGTATTTAATATACAAGAGGGTCGTTTGCTTCAGTTCAGCAATATGCAAAGCAAATACTCCAAGACGAATACGCGCAAGCCGAAAACGGACAGAGATTGGCCCTGCCAGCCACGCATCCGGCCGATGGCGTTTCCCACGGCCACCAACGAAATGCCCGAGCTGTGCACATCGTTCGGTATGACGGCAAACCATATCCGACTCAGTTTGAACACATAACTCACCTAACCATTCCATTTCAGATCATAATATGATGGACTGGTCGACCAACGGCCAAATGGCCCTTTCCTTTGGCGAAAACCTGATCATCTGGCGGAATCAGAATGATACCAGCATGATATTCAATGTGGAGCGGACAAGTGCCGTAAAATATTCGCCAAATGGCAGATACCTGGCCATTGGCTGTATGGATGGTGAAAATCCCGGTACGTAGATCAATAGATCAACTGATTTATAATACTTAATGTGACGGATATGCCTTGTACCTTAGGTATGAATAGTCATATCGTAAGAGGACACATATTATTAATGGTATTATGATTTATGGAACTTCTACTACCTACTCCAATTGTATAAAGCATCTTTATGCTAGCGAATGATCGTACATTTCGTCTTTCAGTTTCTATGCAGAAAGTTCCTGAAATTTTTAGACTTTTGACATAAAGTTTAGTTTATGGAACTTATCGAACACAAGGCTCAACTGGTTCGATTTGCTATAATATAAATTGTATTTACTTTAACTTAATATTTATAGTATATGTTATATATGATAGATGTTTGAGCTCTGTTCTTTGCATGCCAGAGTATATATATTTTATTTCTAAATTTCTCTAACCCAAAAATAATTGACGTCCTTTGAAATGTTCAGTTTTAGAGCTTTGGCTAGTGCAATCACGAAACGAGTTTCTAGTAGCCGATGGCAAATATCTGCCCAGATCTTTCGAGTCGATATGCTGCATTGAATGGATGGAGGCGAAAGATGAGATTGTCTGCGGCATGAAATGCGGCTTAATTGTGGTACTGAACTTCCAGACGATGACCATAGAGCACGTCTTGCGTAAGCATACGAATAAAATCTGTTGCATGCGCTTCTCGCCGACGAGACGCTACTTGGCCACAGCCGATGTCCAGGGCCATATATACATATTCGATGGCTCGCTATATAAGGTGATATTGCGTTTGGGCGCCAAGGCGGGCGGCATTGTCTTTGACTGGCATCCATGGCTGGCCAAGGAGTTGGCCATTTGTGAGTAGTTACGCATTGAATATAGTTTTATAATCTGAAAATGTAAACCTTTCTCGCAGCGGAAAAACGACGTTCATCCATTTACATATTCCATGTGCCGCGCCGTGAAATTGTTGCCTATTATCAGCGCGGAGATGAGAAGATTTTAATCAACTCGATCAACTTTAGTAAGATCACGGGCGAGTTGCTGGTCAACATTTATAGACGTGGTAAGATTTCGCGCCAATTTCGAAGTACACTTTTATTTGAAAAGCAACATTTTCCAGACGAAAACGGTTGTCCGTGCTGTGAGATTTTGGTGCTTGCCTCATTGAACCGTGTCGTTGATATTTTGACGCATCAGGACAGAGGAGCACTGTTTATGATGTGGAGTCCGGATGGCACTAAGCTCGCCGCGGCTGGCCTTGATGAGTCCTTCTCGGTTTGGGAATTCTATCCCAGCGACAAATTGGATGCGCTGGAGAAAAAAGAAGAGCGCAAGAATACAAAGCGTAGCGCTTTAGAACTTTATTCGTTTCTGAGATAAATTCCAATCAAATTGTTGTTTTTTTTTTTATCCAATTGTATGTCGATATTTTAAAAGTTCGAAAACTATTTGTTGGCTTGGTTTTTGTGTTTTTATTTTATTTCAAATTTGTAAACATATGTGTACTTATTAGTTAATCATTCATTATTCCAATTCATTTTATAAATCTTTCACTAAAATTCCATGGTTCTTCAACTTAAAGCGTATTTTTTTTTTTGTTGTTTAACAATATTATCGACCGATCGTAAAAATTGCAAAAGACAAATGTTGTATGCTAGTAAAAAGAAGGCAATATGCTGATAATCTAATGCAAATTGAAGATATACAAGTTCAAAATTTCAGTTGCCCAAATTATTTTTTCCATTGAAATCTATTATCTACGTTACTATTTATAAATGTATGTGTAAATATAGGAAAAAACTATTATAAAGATCTGGAACAGTTGACAAGTGCGCCATCTATTTGATCTATCCACGCTTCTGGGATTCCTGCTGAAATATATACTCCGCACAGGCTTCGGCTTCCAAACGTTGCTTTTTACTCTGATACGGTTTAATTAAAAAACGAGTGGTGCAATATACGACAGCCGTGGATCCGATGGCGATGGCCATCATGCCGACAGTCGTTGAGGCAAATTGTTTAATGAAGCTCATCTGCAATTGGGGTAAGTGAAAGAAGAAATGCATTAAAGTTATTGTTTTTAATGTACATTCAACTAAAATCTATCGCACCACTTTGCGGAGTTTGTTATTGTTGTTGTTGTTGTTGTTGTTGCTGCTGGCGCTGGAGCTGCGCTGTTCTCAGGCTTATTTTCGTTTTTAAATTTCAATATGAGTGGCTGCCAAATGTAAACACCGCCCAGAAAACCTATTGCGGTTACAACCATTAACTGAGTTACTGTAACACCACGAGGACGACGTATTTGCATTGCAAAACAAATTAATTTGGTTTGCTATGAACCCCACAGATTTTAATAGCCGGTGCCTGTTACATCAGCTCAGGTCTAACAACGAAAGTGTGCGTGTGAAAACAGCTGATTGATTGTATGTGAGAAGTTTTGCAACACTGTTCGTTTGGAGTTGCCAGATGCAAAATGATGTTCAGCAATTTGACATCCGTTAGGTAATGTGCAGCATTAATAACTGTTTAAAAATGAGCATTAAAATACACACATACACACACACTCAAACATACATAACTATGTATATTTGCTTGCATGCATGTGTGTTTCGGAGAGCGTTGCTTAATCAATGTTTTTTCTTAGTTTTGGGTATTTCAAATTTTCATTTATTGACGTATTTGGAATTAATGCGGATTTCCTTGTGAGCTACAAGAATTTTATCAGCCATCGGGTTTATCTAAGCACTCAAGTGTATATTTACACATTAATCAACGGTTAAACGATCAGCATCAGAAAAGACATAGAAAGAGAGCAAGAGAGAGCGCGTAAGATTGTGACGTGCCTTGCTGTCAGATTGGGACTCCCTTTAAAGCAGCAGAGCGAAAACAGAAGCCGCGCAGCAGCATTAAAAACAACAACAACAACAACAATCATATCGTTGTCAAACACTAAGCTGGTTTTTAAAATGGCCTGCTCGCAGCGAGCTTTGAGTCACTCTCAGTTGGAACCGCGCGCCAAACGGTTCTTCATCATTTTGCTGTGAGCGCCAAGTTGCGCTTGAAGCTATTCTACTGCTGCTGCGAAAAGGAGTGAAAACAAGCGTATACATACACACAACAAATTTAAAGTGCGCCCAAAGAAAATTTAACATAAAAATGTACACAAACCTAATGAAAAGTTGTGATATGTGCCTGCCATTGCTGCTGCTGCTGTTGTTGTTGATTGGCGCAACGAGGCATGCCAATGGCAACAATATACCCACATTGACGACGCCGACGGGTGTGTTCGAGACGCGCACCGATAAGGTGCCAGCCAGCGCGACGGCTGCGATTGCTCCAACAATGCCGCCGGCTGCATCCTACGATGACCTCGACACATTTGTGCCGTTTCGCAGTGATTCGCATGACAATTTCTCGTGGCAGCTGTTGAAGATGGTGCTGCTCAACGATACGGAGCAACAGAATAATGTCATCATATCGCCGTTTTCTGTTAAATTGGTGCTGGCCCTGCTCTCGGAGGCCGCTGGCACCAATACACAGACACAGCAAGAGCTGATAAGCACACAGACAGACATCAGATCGGCGAACAATGTGCGTGAGTTCTATCGCAAGACGCTCAACTCGTTCAAGAAGGAAAACCAGCTGCACAACACACTGAATGTGCGCACCAAACTCTTCACCGACAGCTTCATCGAGACGCAGCAAAAGTTTACGGCCACACTGAAGCATTTCTATGACAGCGAAATCGAGGCTCTGGACTTTGGCAATGCGCCAGCGGCGGCCTTTGCCATCAACGAGTGGGCAAATAATGTGACAAATGGGCGATTGAGCAACCTGGTCACACCTGAGACCATCCAGCACAGCGTCATGCTGCTGACCAATTTGATCTACTTTAAGGGTTTGTGGCGCCGCCAATTCTACAATACATACGAGGGCGCCTTCTTCCGCACCAGAGATGCCCAGACGCGTGTTCAGTATATGGAGCAAACGGACTACTTCTACTACCACAACTCGGACAAGATGAAGGCACAGATACTGCGTCTGCCGTACAAGGGCAAGAACTCGATGTTTGTGCTCCTGCCACACGCCATGGACGGCATCTATGACCTGCTGCACGCGCTGGAGAATGACGAAGTCAAGAGCGCCCAATGGGCGATGGAGGAGCTCAAGGTCAAGGTGACGCTGCCCAAATTCCAGTTCGACTACAAGCGCAGCTTTAAGGATACGCTCCAACAGCTGGGCGTACGTGAGATATTCGAGGACAGCGCCTCGCTGCCGGGTCTAACGCGCGGCGCCGACGTTGCCGGCAAGGTGAAGGTATCGAATATATTGCAAAAGGCCGGCATCGATGTCAACGAACAGGGCACAGAGGCATATGCAGCCACCGTCGTCGAGATCGAGAACAAGTTCGGTGGCTCCCAGACCATCGTCGAGTTCAATGTGAACCGCCCGTTTGTCTTCTTTATCGAGGAGGAGGCCACCGGCAACATTCTGTTCGCCGGCAAGGTGCACCAGCCCTGCTGAGACGACGCTAGACAATAGACATAACGATTTGATTCTAGAATAACACAATCAATAAACAAAAACTATGATATACGACGACGATCATTTTGTAATTGTTACTATTATGTGAAGATGACGGCATGATCCGTCATTTTTTTATTTGCACAGAGTCTGTCCCAGTATTGTCACACATAGTGAGAGTTACTTGAAATATTTCCTAACCAATTACGAATAAATTCTATTATCGGGCGAAACATCAAATATATAAACACAATTTCGATAGATTATTGAAGAAAATATGAATTGCATTGAAATTGTTTAATGCAGAATATTAAATTTAATATAATTGGAAAAACCGCGAAAATCTTATAAAGACACAAGAAAATCCCTTTCGATAATTTTTGTATTCAAATAAATGTATGAAGAACCATTAAAAAAAAAAAACTGCCCATGTAACAATTATAAAATAATTGCTAGCTGTGTAAGGGTATTCGATATGTTTTAAGCAAACCGAAGCTTCGTTCGCATTTGATTAATAATTATAAGCTGATAATGCTGATAGCTCGTAGTCGTATTGTTGTCTTAGGAGTAGTACGTATAGCCTTGTATCACTTAGACACGCCCCACACTCGATTGCAAAACAAGCACCTCACTTAGCTGATGAAGACGTATGTGCTGTAGGGCATGGGAATTCCAGAGCCGATCTACAAATGCGCCTCTAGACTTATGAGATATGTATGTACGAGCACAAATACATATATGCAAATAGGTACAAACACCTGAAAACCCACTTAGCCGGCGCGCACATGACTCACGAGAGTGGGATCTAATTGACACCAGGCAAAACAATTGGCCGAGTCATTGCACGATCCCCAAGTAAAAATAAAACCTAATTGAACAAAATTTCAGATCAATACCAAAATAATGAGTTTGTCTTAATGTCAAAAGCAAATAGTTATTACAAATGCCAGAAGGTGTTACATTTGCCAGCCCAAGGCATTTGGCATAGGTAGTATTCATTAAGTATCGATTAATTTGTCTTATCCATAAAAACTCGGGTCCTCATACTACGACCAACTAACTCTATTAAAAAACTACTACTACGAAATTAAGCTGATTCATTAGTCGATCCATTTTAAATATTTCTGATGGATTTGAGCCGGCAACCTTCGCCTCGTTAGTTAGTTTTTGTTAGATTTCTTCCTACTCAGCTGTAGACATTTCTAAAATCCCAGCCCAGTTTTCACTTCTGTAAAAATTGAACTTTCTAGTTCTTATACAAGTCTTTAATAAAGTATTTTAATTATAGTTCACAACTTTGTTTGATCTTTGATAACAATTTGTAAGCATTCCCCTCGCTTGCAATATTTTTGTTTTCTTCCAATCTTAGTCACGCTAGAAACTTAAGATCAAAGATGAAACTTTGTGCGCTAAAACAAGTTGCTTCAACACCTAATCTACACAGAGACGTGTATAAATATTTTCTCAATGTATTAACATTCTTATCATCGCATTCTATTTTATTTCGACGAGCGATCGTGAAATCTACTCAAATATATGTATGTGTGAGTCTATCATATACGGGCGCACATATTTATAGATGAATCGATGTGCTTAGGGTTTAAAAAAGTAAGAGTTAAATATTTAAACAGGTTCTATGCATAACAAATGTTATGGGAGAGCTCAACTGATATGGTATATGATTTGACATGGAGTCAGCCCTTTAAATTTTTAACTTTTTTTTTAATTGACAATTGCCCGTTGTACTGAAAATATTGCTAGCCGTGCATATTTCCATACTACAATAATCGGGCTACATTTGATATTTATACAAAATTAACATCTGCCTCATAAGGATCAAAGTTATTTATAGTTTGGGGTTTTATCTTCCTCATGTTAATTATTTTGAAGAGCTTGGCTTGGTTTCAAGAACAATATTAATAGGAATTCCGGGTTGTAATACTCTCGAAAATTGATTAATCCTATTCCAGCATAGAAATATGTCATATTTTTCTCATTTATTCCTTAACAGAGCTTTGGTTAAACTTCTCATCTTTAAAAACAAGTTTAAATAGGAAGTTGATCAACGAGAATTTGTCGTATTTTTGTTTTCAACAAAGTCAAATGAGCTCAAATTTGTCGAATCACGCCTCAACCCGACTTCATAATCAGAGTTTAATAATAAATGTTTATGAAACGATCTGGTAGCAAAAGCAAACGAGATTGAAATTAGGTTTTATTTATACTCCAATTAATCAATCTGCAGCCATTGATGAAATTTTGTAGGAATATCTCTCAAAGTCTCGTATATAAATAAGGTGATAAGATTAAAGATTTGTCAACTTATATCTTGAAAATTTGTACTTGAGTCACATCAAATACGGGACTTAAAAGCATTGCAAATATAAATAAACTGCATTCATTTACTTTGTGTCAACTGATTCAGGGCTCAAAAACATACACAAAAATATATTTACAAAATATATTTACTTATGCATTTGTAAAGGCCGAATTCGTGCTTTCACTTATATATTTAAGACTTTATGGCCTGAACGTGTTCTCATTGACAAAAAATCACCTCAAGTTGCTTTTTAGGCACAAACGTCATAAAAGAAGTTTTCATGGGTTTTCATATTCATAGGAACTATATTTAAATAAGCCTTAATTTCCCCTTTATTTGTTGTAAAAACCTTAAAAATGCGAAACACCAAATAGCTTTCCTATATATTATATGATATGATATGATATATGACCGAATATATTATTTATAAGGCAAAGGATGCCCATTTTCCTTGCCGTGGATTAGGTTTTCGAATAAAATACATATTTTCGAGAACATTTCGAAGAGCAGAAGAATTTCCTATTTACTAATAAATTGAAATATAACACAATTTCAAAAGTGCTATAAGAGAAAGAATTGAAGAAATTCTTTCTTATTTAATTATTTTTGCATCTATCTTGAAAAATGTCGCTGAGAAAAACCCAAAGCCTGGCACACACGAGTTAAGAATATAGCTAAAATTGAAACCTGATCATATATATTCAAATACATATATAATATTTAGACATTGCGGTTAACGCTCACGTTCTATAGTAAAATTCATTTGCGTGGAATAAGTTATGTCTGAGATAGATGGGCAAGAAATATGAATAGATAGATAGACGGGCAACAAAAATGATTTATAAATGAATTTTGTACTCACCTCCGCCGCTGCCGCTGGTGAGCATTGCCATCGGCTGCTGTGATTGAATTTGAGGTTTGTTAAAATTATTTGTGTTTACGTTAATGTTGTTGTTGTTGTTATTGTTGTTGTTGTTGTTGTTGATATTATTGTTATTGTTGCTATTATTGTTGTTGTTCTGATTGTTTTGTTGATGGCGCATTTGCTGTGCTGCGTATTGTAGCTGTTGCTGTTGTTGTGTCTGTGCATATGATTGATACTGTCCCGCAGGCTGGGCCAATTCACCAATTTGGAAATTTGCGTTTTCTGCGAAACGCAGAGCTGCGTCAGTATGCCGTGAATTGGCGGCAACAACCGGCTGCTGTTGCTGCTGCTGTTGGGATTGCATCATAAGCCCGTTAGCTGCCGAATGGTTTTTGCCAGCAATAAGTGAATTCAGCAATGCATTTGAAGATGTCTCCTGGCGTCCAGTTCGTGCTCCATGCATAGCCGGCAGTTGACCGCGCGCTTGCTGCTGCTGTTGTTGCTGCTGCTGCTGCATGGGCTGCTGTTTGCCCGCTGCGGCGGCATTCATGTTGAGCAGCTTTGAAGTCTGCTCCTCCATCTTGCGCTTCATGACCGCATTGCGCATTATGGTGTTGGCATGCGCCTGCAGATCCTCCTGTGATAGTTGCTGCGGAAGCGCTTGCTGTTGTTGTTGCTGCTGCTGCTGTTGTTGTTGCTGCTGTTGTAGCTGCTGCTGCTGCTGCCGCGCGGCGAGCGTCTGCTGGACAATGGCCAAATTGTGTAGATTCTGCAGCTGACTGGCAATCACTGTACTCGATAGCATCTCCAGCTGCTGTTGGTGCTGTTGTTGCTGCTGCTGCGTATTGGTGAACTGCAGCACAGCCGTTATAGCCTCGCGATCCATGTTGGTTAAGCGCGGATTGGCCAACTGCACCAGCAGTCCATGCTTAGAAATTTCACCTGTAACAACATAAACTTATTATAAGATGTTTCAGTTTAGACTTCGTCTGTATATACCTTTAGTCAGACGGAGTAACAACAGTTGCGTATCGGCGCGTCCCAGTATGGCCTTCAGCTGAAGGCTGGCCAGAAAGGCGGTCTGCTGCTGCTGCTGTTGGATGAGCACGTGTTGCTTCTGCTGTTGCTGCTGATATTGTTGCTGTTGTATAATAAAATTGGAGATGGCATCGTTGCCGACTGGCGGCTGCTGTGCCGGCAGCTGGGGCGGCACTATTTGCGGTTTAGCACCATTTAGAGCACCAATTAGTTTTTGGAAGCTGTCTGATTGTTTATTGTTTATGTTATTGTTGATAGGCTGGGCTGCTATTCCTGCTCCTGCTCCTGTTCCTGCAGCTGGTACATCATTCATATTACCAAGCGAATTGCGACGCCATTTGGCTTCGAGCTGATCAACCGATGGCATTTGATTAACATAACCTAGGCTCTTGGGCTGCTCCAAGTTCTGGTTGCAGATATTGTTAGTGTTGTTGTTGTTGCCACTGTTGGTCTGGCTCATGGCCTGCTTAAAGAACTCATTCAGTGATGAGGATGAGCCATTCTTCTCCTGACGTTCGCGTGCAAAAAAGGACATGAATTTTGAATTGTTGTTGTTTGTGTTTGACGCATGCTGCTGCTGCTGCTGCTGTTGTTGTTGATGTTTCTGCTGATAATTGCCTTCGGTGCGTGCATAGCTATTATTATCAAAATTCTTTTGATTGTGATTGAAGCTATCAAACTGAGGCGCACGATTGCCATATCGTTTCTCATCCTTTTGTAGCTGCTGCTGCTGCGGATGCTCACTTGAGTTCACTTTGTTCATGTTCTCCGATGTATTGTTGTTGTTGTTGCTGTCGCTCTTTGGCATAAATTTAGCGGCAATGTTGCTGTTGCTGCTGCTTGTGCTGCGGCCAATAGTGTCAGGATGTTGCCATTTGTATTTGCTATGTTCGATCTGGGAAGAGGAGAGATGAAGACAAAGTGAGATACGTTAATTATGTAAAGAATGTACATCTTAAATACAAGCTTTATTCCCGATGCAATGACAACAAAATTAGGGCCCTACTTTGCGATTCTCATAATGAATATATTCACATTTGTCTATGCATATTCTTTTATTAAGTTAATGAAATTTGTTGTTGCTTACTTTGTGCTTTTGCATGATGGGCTCTCTATTTGCATCGATGGTGGCGTGTTTTCCCTCTTTGAGCATTTTCTCCTCATCCTCATCAAACCCACACAATTCGATTGTATCGAGTCTTGAGGTGGGACCACAGCTAAACCACTCGGGCTCTTCATTTTGGTTTCTGTAGCGACGATAGTGTCGCTCCTCCGAATCGCGAGACTTTGGCTTGGAGACGACCAAAAAGCCAGACATGACACGCTTTACGTAATTCTCGTTGGCTCGATTCAGATCCTCGACGGATTCATTTGATTTCAAGCTTTCGTTTTCCGACCGATTGTTGTTAGACATGCCCATTATGGGCGTATTTGGTCGGCCATTCGACTGCTGTGTGCCATTCAATTGCGTACTGCTGATCTCGCCATTATCAAAGAACTTTAACACCGTCATATTGCTTGAGTTTTTGTTATGATGCTCTATATCATCCATGTGAGATTTGCCCATGGCTTTCGGCTGATGATTGTTGTTGTTGTTGTTGTTGTTGTACGATTGCACGGACTTGTAGTCGTTGTTGTTGTAAGACCATTTCGTATGCGATAGACGTCCGCTGCCGATGCGTCTTTGATTAACAATAGCCGGATCCTGCGAAAGGGTGTAAGAAAGGTATATAAAGGATACAAGGATATGTACATACATTGATAGCTAATATAACCTTATTTGCATTTATGTATGTAAAATAAATATGTATATTGTGTAAGTCCATCGTCCTGATCAAGAATAAGTGCCTAGTCTACACCTTATGCTAAAGATACAACGTATACACATATACATACATATGTATAATACAATTGAATTTATGTACAAATATTCATACGTACATATACATATCTACACACACACACACACTATATATATATATATATATATATATATATATATATATATATATATATATATATATATATATATATATACCACGCCAAATTAACGAATATAATATTTATACACAGAAACTGTGTAACTGTTAAGTATGTTTCACCGTTAATCGCGGGGATGGCACATCGCTAGCGGCTGGCGCCAGTGAAGCTCTCACATATTGGCACACAATACACACACATATACATATACATAGGTATATTTACAGCGCCAGCTGTGAGAGAGATTGCAAGCGTAAGCTGATAAACCGTCAAGTAAACTTGCGAATGTGCGTGCTAAGCGATGAGCGCAAAAACAAAAGGGAGAGTGAGCAAAATGAAAATTGTGCTTGACGAAAAACAAATACATTTGTATGTATGTAAGTATGTATATGTATAAAGCGCTAGTCGGAGATGTACAATAACAAAAACAAAAACTAAAACGGTGCCAGCGCCAGCGTCAGTTGACATTGCGCTGTCCCGTGGACTCCATCGATCGAGCGAACGAGCGACAGATAACTGTAAGCGGCAGCCATTACAAACACACAACACTAATCCTACGCAGTAGGTAAATGCAGTGATAGCAACGTTATTAGGCTCAGTGACAAGATGCAGTTTGTGGCCAGCGGTAAGAGCGACGCGGCGCACTGCTAATCTATGTAATTGCATTTAATTATGCACATAAATAATTTTGTATATATATTTTTAGAGCACCAACATCGACGACTGAATCCATTGAATGGACAGTGGGTGCTTGTGAGTCCGCATCGCATGCAGAGACCCTGGTCGGGTCAGGAGGAGAAGCCGCAGCTAAATGAACAACCCGAATTTGATCCCAATAATCCGCTCTGCCCGGGCGTTAAACGACCCAATGGCATTATAACAGAACGCTATGAGAGCACCTATGTTTTTGATAATGACTTTCCCGCACTGCTGGAACAGGTGCCCACCCCGCCCGCAAGCGATGATCCGCTGTTTCAGGCAGCGCCAGCGCGTGGCAATTGTCGCGTTATGTGTTTCCATCCCAAATCGAATTTAACCTTGCCAACCATGAGTGCAACGGAAATTGGCGCTGTTATTGATGAGTAAGTTATCGATAAGCTAGCTATCGATAATCGCATTATCGATTTATATTTGTAATTAAATTACAGATGGATCAAACAATTTAACGAGCTGAGCCCCAAGTACGCCTGGGTGCAGATATTTGAGAACAAAGGCTCCACCATGGGCTGCTCGAATCCGCATCCGCATTGCCAAATCTGGTCATGCTCGTTTCTGCCCACAGAGCCACAGCTGAAGCAGGAACGACTTCGCGCCTACTATGCCACCCATGACCGGCCGATGCTGGGCGACTATGTGGAACGCGAATTGCAGCGCAGGGAACGCATTGTTATTGAGAATCCCGATTGGCTGGTCGTGGTGCCCTACTGGGCTACATGGCCCTTTGAAACGATGCTAATATCGCGCAACAACAACAAGCGCATCAATGATCTAACCAACGGCCAGCGTCATAATCTGGCGCTGACCATCAAGGAGCTGACCACCAAATATGATAATCTATTTAAATGTTCATTTCCGTATTCAATGGGCTGGCACGGTGCGCCTACGGGACCAGAGCATGCGCACGCCTCGAGCGCCCACTGGACACTGCACGCCATTTACTATCCGCCGCTGCTGCGCTCTGCCACGGTGCGCAAATTTATGGTCGGATTTGAGCTGTTGGCGATGGCACAGCGCGATTTAACGGCGGAGCAGGCCGCTCAGCGGCTGCGAGAAGTGGACGGCACACAGCACTATCTGAGCAAATGATTCCTAGAGCTAGAGCCGGCCAATAAAAGCGAATTTAAATTGTAAACAACATGCTAGGCTATGCTAATAATCAATTAGGAAACTGTCAGGCGCGCTTTAGATTACACTTTTGCCTAATTATAAAACATACTTTACTTTCCTCTGATATTGGCTATGTCATTCCAAAATGCGCCAATATATGTATATAGAGAAATTCTAACGCTCGAGCTTAATATTTCTGGCTCTATTCGTCTAAACTACAAATTATAACTTATGACGAGATTCTAATAAAGATCAAATGGCGGTTTTTATTCTATAAATACAAAATAACGAGGAAAAGGAATACGAAAAATAAGAAGTGAATCAAAATCTTGCACCTTCAATTCTCTAAAGATACGGATCGATTTTAATGTAATATAAGAGTTTTACTAATGCAACTATTTTATCCATTGGATTCTACAAATTGTTATTGTAAAAAACAGATATCTATTAAGCAATGAGAACATATGGAAGAGTTTAAAAATCTCGCAATCCCACACAGAACTTAATTTTTTAAAATTGATTATGATTCATTTTAGAGTTGTCTAAATTCTTTTCAATGGGGTATTCTTTCTTGCAAAGGTAAAAATTAGTATATTAGTAACGTGGAATAGATAAGCACAAACGACAAGCCTTATCGGAATCCAATCAGATTAAAGAACATTAGACTAGCCTGTCTATATACTGTATAGTATACTATATATAAGAGTATATAAGATCGGCTAATCTGTTGCTCTTTAATCTGATTATCTATATGTATATGTCTTGTATATAAAAATGAGTGCAGCGCTCACCTGAAAATCCTGCTGCGGTTGAGGCGGCTGGCTCTGTATGATGGACTCATCGGTGATCAACTGTTGTTTGTTCTTATTCTTATAGAAGGCGGGCATGCACTCGTTGCTGCCGTTGGCATTATGGAGACTTACACGCGGCTTAAAGCTGTTGCCGTTGCGAGCATTGGGTGCCGAGTCCACGTTTCGCCATAGATTCATGCGGCGCAGTCGTCCCTCCAGTTCAATGTCATCGCAGGTGGCGATGCGCGGCATACTAAAGGTCAGAGACTCCTTGGAGCGATGCATGAGTGCATGTACCATTGAATTCCGTATATCCAACAAATGCTGACGCGTATAATGCTGCATGGGTGTATCCAATTTGGGGCTGGGTAATATCACAGCCGATTGTGTGTTGCGTAGCTTGGGCAGACGCAGACTGCCCGAGACAGCAGTTGCCGAAATGCTGCGTGGTTTTTGTGTTGCCGCCTGTTGTTGTTGTTGTTGTTGTTGTTGTTGTTGTTGTTGTGGTGGTAACGCCATCTGAGGCAGCGATTTCTTGGCAGCTGGCTTGGCATGATTTGGTGGCGGGCTCAGGTGCAAGTCGCAGGACAACAGGCTCGTGGGCTGAGTATAAGGCGTGGAGGCGCGTGCCGACAGCACCTGCAAAGTCATTAAACCCTGGCTTTCATCATCATGAGCAATCCCTGCTGCTGCTCCTGTTCCTGCTGGTGGCAAGGGTATGGCCTCTTTGGATATGACCGCATGCGGAGCTTGACGCTGCTTGGCCAGCAATTTGCCAACTTTCATCTTTCTTTCCAGTTTGCGTATGACAGCGGGCTTGTTGCACTTCGGATGCACGATAATGGCTTGAGTGGACGGATTGACAGCACTTTTAACTGAACATGTAGGCGACATTTGGACAGCATCGGTTTTCAATTCATCCAACATATTTGGTACGGACTGTTGGCCAAAACAATGACAATGATAATGTAATTGGAGTAAGTGTAGCAAAATAAACAAAAGAAAAAGCACAAACTATCGATACTAGCGAAATTTTTCCACAAGAATGTATTAGCGAAAAGTCAAACACGTAAATTTCAATGTCATTTCCAAAACAATAATTTATAATGTCAAACAAATGTACAGTATGCGGTCGGTATGCTGTTTCTGCAGCCCAATCAGAGAACATTGACTATTGTAGGTAGAGTTAGCAAAATAAAATTCAACACACTTAATAAATTTTGATTACTTTCTCAGTAAGTGAAACGTTAAAAAAAAAATAATAAACTTAAAAAAAATGGCTTGCTATTGTTGTCGAACTTGCCATCCGACAAGGTGTTTCTTCTATAAAGTAGAATTTTAAACTTTGAATGAAATTCAAAAAAAAAAAAAAACTTGTTCCATTTTTTATAGTCAAGATTTGAACAGGAATTCGAATTTTCACCCTAAAAGCTCTAAATAGAAAAAGTTTTTTTCCTAATTTGTTTTTTTTTTTTCAACCCTTTTGAATATGTTATTATTGCGACTATTTTAGCGAAAGCCCACTGTAGGCACATAGCTGTAAAATGAAGCAGCTGTGATGTTTTTTTTTTTTTTTTATATTTAACTCACATCGAAATTCGCCCGCTGCTGCACTCGCTTGTGGGTCTCCATTTTTGTAATGGCCTCCTCCAGAGCGTCTTTTAACTTGATGGCGGTCAGTTTGGCATAGCCCTGACCAGTTGCCAATGCATTGTTGGGCAATGGGGGCGGCGGTGGTGGCGCACAAGGATCTTCCCATTTTTCCGAATTCGCCTCGTCATCCTCAGTGTCGGGCGCTGCGGCCGTTGCCGCCGGCGTTGGCTGTGGAGTTTGAACTGGTGTGGATGGTGGCGGCGGTGGAGGCATAGCGAATTTCGCTTTCTCAACAGGTGTTAGCACTTGTTGGGCATCGAAGTCAGCATCTGCACGGCCAGCACCTTCATAATCCATTGAAAGGAAATGTTTTCGCTTGCTTTTGCGTTGTTCCTTTGGTGATTGCTTTGGTTCTAAAGCGCCAGCGCCATTTTCTTCTTTGATCAATTCTGCTTCGAGCATTTGCTTTGCACTAGTCGACATTTTCTGTTAGGTTGCGAATAATAATTTGCATGTGTTATACGTAGTCTTTGGTTATAGCTGTACTTACAATAATTTAATTATTTTTATTGGTAAAAAAAAAAACAAGCACTTTAAAATTTTAATGCAAAGTGTAACTTTATATATTGCAAAATGAAATCACGTTTATGGCGAGTTCGTAGATGCCGTTATTTTGTCTTTTCAATCGTGCGCCTGTTCATGGATGCAAATGTGTGTTGTGCATGTGTGGGTGAATTGAACTTATTTATTGAACCAAAAGAAAACCATGTAAGAGAGTTCACAACTTCCCACTGCGCTTATCGAACTATCGATAACACAAGTACCATGTAATTTAACAACCCTCGTAAGACGAAGATATTTATGCGATGTAACCAAAGTCACCAGCGCGAACGTCAAAGTGATTTAACTATCAGGAAAAATACACTTTTTAAGGCTTAACAAACATCTTTAAAATAAGCCGAAAGTCTTAAATATTACTTATTTAAGCTTATAGTTATTTAGTTGAGTTGCAACATATATAGCCATTGAAATTTAAAAGTGACAATCACTGTGATACCAATTGCACGCTCATCTCTAGCATAATGCCATCATTAGTAGCCGTGTAGCTACGCTACAAGAAAAAAGATTCTTGCTCGTCTGGAAATATTTATTGAGATAAATCGATTGAGCAGCCACCGAAATAGTAATTTGAGTTGATTCAAATACCAGCAATAGAAGCAATAACGCGTACTGGATGGATTTATAAGGTAAGTAAAACGTTCAAAACTTTTACTGTCGTAAACAAGCGTAACCTAACCTCAATTGTAAATGTCTAGCACCAAATTTGACGGAACGAAGGAGACAAAGGTAATAAATAATTAAACAAAATGACCCAATATCTGCCGCCAAATCTTTTGGCGTTATTCGCCTCACGGGATCCAATACCGTTTATGCCACCGGTGGATAAGTTGCCCCATGAAAAAAAATCTCGAGGCTACCTGGGCGTAGCCAAATTTATGAGCGACTTCGAAGACCCAAAGGACACACCGCTGCCCAAAACTGTAGAAACGCGCCAGGAGCGACTCGAGCGAAGGCGGCGCGAAAAAGCCGAACAAGTGGCCTATAAGCTGGAACGCGAAATTGCACTATGGGATCCAACCGAGATTAAGAACGCCACAGAGGATCCATTCCGTACATTGTTCATAGCGCGCATCAACTACGACACCTCCGAGTCCAAGTTGAGGCGCGAGTTCGAGTTCTACGGCCCCATCAAAAAGATCGTGCTCATTCACGACCAGGACTCAGGTAAATTGTGTTTGTTCAACGTACATAATACTTCATTTTTAGATTTAAGAAATATTGTTGTATAATTGCATAATTACCCATGTTTTATCTTACAGGTAAACCCAAGGGCTACGCCTTTATTGAGTATGAGCATGAGCGAGATATGCACGCGGCGTACAAGCACGCCGATGGTAAGAAGATAGACAGCAAGCGCGTCCTGGTGGATGTTGAACGCGCTCGGACCGTCAAGGGATGGCTGCCACGACGCCTGGGTGGCGGTTTGGGCGGCACACGGCGAGGTGGCAACGATGTGAATATCAAGCACTCTGGCCGCGAGGACAATGAACGTGAGCGTGAACGCTATCGTTTGGAGCGTGAGCGTGAGGATCGCGAGGGTGGTGTACGCGGTGGAGCCAACAATGGTGTCGATGCACGTGGGGGGCGTGCTCCTTACGGCGGTGTCGTGGCCGGTGAGAGGCGACGCTCGCGCTCCCGAGATCGCAGGGATCGCGATCGGGAACGCGGCGCACGTGTCGGTCGCTCGCGCAGCCGTTCGCGCGAACGCCGAAAACGTCGTGCCGGCAGCAGGGACCGTGACTATGATGATTTCGATGGACGACGGGACAGGCGGGACAGGGAGCGTGATCGTGATCGCGAGCGTGAAAAGAAAAAGAAGCGTTCCAAGTCACGAGAGCGTGACTCATCGCGTGAAAGGCGCGATCGCAAGCGTGAGCGTCGGGATCGCGATCGTGGAGGTGCAGATCGCAGTGCTGGCGGCGGTGATCGCGATGTCAAGGAACGCAAACCAGACTTCCGTGAAATGGATATGATTAAGATTAAGGAGGAGCCAATTGATGACGGCTATCCAACGTATTCCATGAATGACTATCAAAACACGGCAATCAAACGCGAAATGGACGATGAGAACGAGGAGAAGTATCGGCCGCCCGCTGCACATCACAATATGTTCAGTGTGCCCCCACCCCCAATACTTCCACGCAGCAACAATCCAGACAATGGTGGACAAAATGCCAGCAGCGATCCAACCTGGTGGCGGCAGTAGTGGGAGTCTGTCATCGATGCAACAACAACACCAACAACAACAATTGGTAATCGAGTACGATAACAATTTTCAGAGTTTTTGTGTAATTATCCTGCGCTGGTAACACTACGATTAGAACTGTAACCGCCATCATTTAGCACGATCGAATGTATCGATTGTTTTTAAATATTTATTCAATTGAAATTTGAAATTCATAGCGAAACAGCGAAACACTGGGACGATGCAGTTCGGAAACAACGAAGCGTAAGACATGCTGTAAGTCCGTTTTAAGCTGGGAGAGCACTTTTCAATTTCCATATATTTAAATTTATCATGAAAGCAAAACAAGTAAACAAAAAAAGTAATAACTTAACAGAACAAAACAAACACAAAAACGTAAATCAACAAAACAAAAAAAATTGTGCATAGCTTAAATACGTTTAAATATGTAAGTAAATCTTAACAATTGAAATGAAGAGTAAGTAAAAATAAATCAGATCAACATGTGTTTGTTTCCCCACCTTTGGTAAGGGGGTATAAGGGAATGCTTTGGTATATATGTATGACTATCCGGATTCCGAGTACTGATTGGTTTGTTTCATCGAAACTGTGTCTACAATTATTACATTTAAAGTGTTAGAAAAACAAAAACAAAAAAAAAACAAAACACAAATTTTAAATATGTGCGCTAACTCGTGCCATTTTGTTTTCTTTATCTTTTTGCAGTTTTCAATATTGAAAATCTGAAAATCTGTATATATGAATATACGCCCAGAGTGTGTGAAAACAGATCATAAGTATTTTAACAAAAATATAATAATAATTAGTTCTGAAATCCATAACGATTCCCCAAAAACTACTCAAAACTTTTGACCCAGTAGTAACTTATCAAATCAGGTAATTTCTTCTCTACACAAATCTCACTAATCCAATGCGTTTACCGTTCTAGGCCAACACTAGAAACGTGGTGGCTCCCTGGGACGCCAGCTCAGCATATTCAATTGGTGTACAATAGCTCTATCCAAACCTGGGTCTTCGAGTAAGTTCTAATCGGGCCACTTTTTCCAAATATCTGACGATTGTAAGTTTTTGCGAGCTGGTTGTTTGGTTGTTGGTAAGATTTTCGGTCCAAATGAGTTGGTCAATTACTGAAAAAAAAAAAAAAACAGAAACAGAAACCAAAGCGTAAATTCAGAATGCACACAATGTTGGATATTCTTTGATCTTGATGGGCTGAGGTATGCCCCTTGAAATGGTTATGTATGGTACTTATATATCAAGTTGATATCGTACTAATCAATTTTCGATCTCGATCTTTTCAAGTACGTTTGGTGATTGTTTGTGTGGCACCTGTACAAGAGGACCACACCACGGAATATATATTTCGAAACAGCGCTCAGGTTTGTTATTGGTCGTTTTCGTTTGGCGCCTATAACTGGTAAGGGTCTGTCAATAAGGTTCACTCAAAGTGTTAAAGCAATGCTTTCTAAAACGAATGGGATGGGGCGAAAAATTCACGAATATCAAATATCTGCTAACTGATTGCAATTGCCAAAATAAATGGAGGCAAGTCAAACTGTGGAACCACAATTTCAAAGCTAAGGCATTTCCAAATATAGTTTCTGTAAATATTTTAAATTCAGACAGGTCCAACATAAGCTTTGTTTCATGTATATTTATCATAGAATTGAATTTCACAAAACACTTATTTCTTAAAGTAGCTGGTTTTAAGCAAAGCAAATGTGCGACCTATTTGAATTTGCATTTGTGTATTTGTTGTTCGACAGATGTGCTATTACTGAATACTTGCAAAAATAAAGTATTTTATAAAAGCAAACCAATTTGAAAGCAAATTTGTTTTTTTTTCCTTGTGTCAAACACATATGTTTAGACATAGCTGAATACCCTACGTTAGAAAATGAATCTTGAAAAAGCCATAAGAAATATACAATATATATCAATATAGATTTCGATTGGGTTTAAAATGTTTAAGGCTTATATATATATTTTGTGTGGACCAACAATTACTCTATCTGAGATGCAGTTGCAATGCCATTTTTCTTTCTTGCACGTGCTCATGATTTAAAATTGAATAGCGCGCCAATTTGTTTAGGTGTTATCGATACGATGCCATGATAGAACGAAAATTGACATGTTATCGCTATCGAACCAGGCTTGGTTGGTTTTTGCGATAAGCCTGACTATAAAGCAATTTTAATGTCTTAATGTGGTCATTTATCTTAAGTTATATTGTGTTCTTAGTTTACACACTTTTATAGAATTTTTGCTAACTTTGAGCTTTTTCGTATCAGGCATACTCCATCGATTATCGTTTTGCCGAATTATTTCCGATAACGATTATTCAAGTACATATTTGCAAATGGATTTTGTGTCCCTTATAAAGTAGGCATTGTAAAAGAAAATTAATTACAATCATATAAAATCAATAAAAAAATATTTACTTATAATTGCGTGCCAACTTGTTAAAGTTAAGAATCTGTCGCCATTCTATTATTTTGTTGCAATTAAATTGGTTCTACAGTGAAGTGCAACCCTGCCTGTCGGCATCGTGGTAATTTTTAGTACATTATCTTGCTGATAATTTTTTCGCCGTGCGAATAGGGAGACACTCAAAATACAACCATTTTTTGGCGTGTGTGTAGCTAGCGCAAGCCGCTTGGTAATCTTAAAAGAAGGAAGCGAGTGGTGAAACGTATTCAAAAGTAAGAAAATTTTCTATTTGCAAACGCAATTTTACAGTGCAAATCAGTAAATATATAATAAACGGTGAATTCTTATTAATTTCTGCGGATTCTTTACATTTTTGTTCAGCACGCACGCCCGGCATCATTGCATTTTACATTTGTGAATATCGTCAAGCGCGTACATAGCGAAAAAAAAAAAACATGTCTGACGAAAAGAAGGGAGGCGAAACCGAGCACATCAATCTGAAAGTACTTGGACAGGATAATGCGGTGGTCCAATTTAAAATTAAGAAACACACACCCTTGCGAAAGCTGATGAATGCCTACTGTGACCGTGCCGGACTCTCCATGCAGGTGGTACGCTTCCGTTTCGACGGTCAGCCTATCAATGAGAACGATACTCCGACCTCGCTTGAGATGGAGGAGGGCGATACTATTGAGGTGTACCAGCAGCAGACCGGCGGTGTTTATTAAATATATACTTGTATGAATGTAGTTAAGCTAGTTACTCTTCATTTTAACGACAACAACAAAAACAGCAGCAGCAGCAACAAACAATTAAGCGAACATTATTCTACATAAATAAACAAAAGAAAAATATCAATTCTGTTGTTCAGTTTGGTTTTTTTTTTTTGTACACACAATGAAAACAACTAAAAGAAGTATCCCCATAAAGATCTAGATATTTGATTAAAAACAAAATAAGCAAAAAACTGGAAAATAAAGCATTTTGTAAACTATAATTTAAGAATGATTCCTGAAAAAATAATTTTGTATTGGCTTGTCAAACTGTGGTTTTGGTGGGTAAATTGCCGGTGGCGCGCATTTCCCGCTTTATATCCCTAATGCTGCCACACACACACACGCACGCACACGTCAAGCGCTTGTAAAATGGTGTGTGTGCGCGTGTGTGTATGTGTGAGGGCTTCAACATTGTTGGTACACACAGGCACGAATTGTGTACAGTACAGCAACTGTGGTTGCTTGTGTGTATGTGTGTGAAAACGAGTATACATACACAATGCAGGCAGACAGACATCTGTCCATGTGTAAACGGAAAACATACATAATTAGGTATATACATGTGTACATACACATCGATTATTATGATTTCATGGGCGTTATAATAATAGGTAAAACTTTAGATATATGGCAACATAATCATTTAGATCTAAAAACATAACCTCAAAATACATATATGGAAAAGATGACGTCATCCTCAGTGGAAGGGTCGAGAATAGATACACACATACATACGTATGCGTGTATGGGTTAACATAACATAACCTTAAAAATTGTGGGCCAGACATTTCAAAATTTCGAAAATATATGAAATTTGGATAGCACCGGGTTTACATGGAGATAGATGTACATGGTAAAAACTTAAATTTCTTTGAAACGAATTACACTGTGCACACATACGCAATGTGTGTGTGTATGTATGTATGTGCATATGCCTGTTAATACAATAACTTATTAAAAAATCGTTTTTGTATGTTTGTAAGAATAAACTTTAATTTTTTAAAGAAAAAATAACTGTACAGGCAAAAATATGCTTAATTCTTACGTTTCTAAAAAAATGATTATCATAAAAGGCACCCTTCCCATTTAAGCAATTAACAAAATATAAATATCAACTTCTCGACCTTAACAATATTAAACCCATTCCTTAGGATTGCGCAGAACCATTAACAAATCGTTTTCCTTGGACGTGGACTTCGGCTCATGCATGTATTCCCATCGGGCGTGCAATGGCAGCGACATGAGAATGCTCTCGTAGCGCGCGCCCGGCGTGTACAGGCCAAATTTGGTGCCACGATCATAGATTAGATTGAACTCCACGTAGCGGCCACGTCGCAGGAGCTGCCACTGTCGCTCATTGTTGCCGTAGTCGGCATTCTTGTGCTTCTGCACCAGGGGCAGATACGATGGGATTACGGCACGGGCGCAGCTGGTAACAAAATTGAAGGCGCTGTCCTGGCTGGGCTCATCGATGTCATCGAAGAAGATGCCGCCGATGCCGCGCGACTCGTTGCGATGTTTGATGTGGAAGTAATCGTCGCACCATTTCTTAAACCTGGGATAGTAGCTGGTGTCGTGCTCGTCGCAGGCGCTCTTGAGCGTCTGGTGAAAGTGTCGTGCATCGTTCTCGTCCAGGTAGTAGGGCGTCAGATCGGTGCCGCCGCCGAACCACCACTGTTTCTTGCCATCGGGCAGTTCCACTTCGAAGTAGCGATAGTTGAAGTGTATGGTCGGCACATGGGGATTACGCGGATGTATGACGGCACTGACGCCGCTGGCGAAAAATGGCAGCTTGACGTTCTCTTTCAGTTCTTTGCCCCGTGCTCGCATCTGCTGCACGGCGGCTGGTGGCAGCATGCCCGTCACGACGGACACATTGACGCCGGCCTTTTCGAAGACCTCGCCGTCTTGCAGGACACAGGTGACGCCGCCGCCACCCTCTTTGCGCTGCCAACGGTCCACCTTGAATTTCTGGCCACTGAACTCCTCGGACTCGAGGGCGCGACAGAATTCAGCTTGAATCTCCATGATCATCAGTTCCATGCGATGGCGCATGTTTTCTTCATCCGCCAGCAAGACGGACTGATCCGTAATGGGCTCTGCCATGAACTTGGATATGTTCAACTTACGATTGACCTTTGCGGCCTCTGCTTGTGCGTACGTGACCGTTGCGAAGGTGGAAAGGCCCAGCCCAGTGCCAAGCAAAAAGCCGCGTACATGTTGACTTTTCATCCGTCGCCCGAGCTGGAAGGTGCCCAGGGACACCAGGGACATTGTGTGTCTTAAAGCGTTCATATTTAGATGCTTTATTGCATGGAAAACTCTTTTAAGGCTACGCACAGTCTTTGTTATCTATCTTCTTCTTGCGCCGGCATTTAAAGGCCACCTGATAACATCGTTATCGAGTTTATATATGTATATCGATAACAAAATGGTCGCCGCGTATTTCGATAAAGAACAGTTACTTTTTACTTACATCTGCAAAGGCAAATATAAATTGACTTTGCTCGTGTTTTCAAAATGGATTTTGATGCTGAGTTCAGTGATATGGTTAACAAACTAGAAGCTGATAAAACACTCCATTCGACAATTTCGTTGGTCTCCCCGGACACCAATTCGGCTTGCTCAGATGAAGCACCTTACCACGAGCAGTCGTCAACAAGCAGCGTCAACCAATCAGACACGATGGAAAATAATACAAATGATGGAATGACAGTGTATGAGGATAATGAAATGTGGTTTGGATCGTCTGGAACATTCATAAACAACTTAAAAAATGAACAGCCAGTGCAACTTAGCGAATCAACTTGCATCTTGGAATATAAAAATTTAATGAGCTCTATCGGAAAGAGAAGTCTGGACCTGAGCATAATTAATGGTACAACGAACAAGGATTATCTGTACCAAACCAGAGATAGTCCGTGCACCCCAGTTAATAATGCCTCGCCGCATTATGATAGAACTTCCCGTTTAGTTAGGCAACCATTCCGTCGCATTTGAAATGCAGATAACATTTTGTTTATGCCAATTATAATTGAATACGTGAAATAAACTGTTTTTTTCTTCTTTCTTTTACACTTTCAACTGTTGTTCGCATTTGTGCAGCCCTGGCGCCAAAAAGTAAAAGTATCGATTTTAAAATTACCCGACCATTTGCAGCGCGTCGATACTTACTCGTGTACGATCAAGTCATTTGAACAGAAGTGGCTGCAAAATTTGTCCTTTACCTAATTACATATTTTTTGTTTTTCAAGTGAGTAACTTTACACGCTAATTGTGTGTGTTTGGCATTGCAAAATAAGAACATTTGTATACGGTGTGTGAAGTCCTAGTTTTTGTGTAATTATAAGTTAAAGAAGGACGCGACGAGTCAATATGTCTGGCCTGGAAAAATTTCAAGACACTCCGGCTTGGCGTCAGAAATTGCTCAACCATTTGCTTCTGGATCGGTAAATAGATAAATATCTGTAAATAACTGTAGAGTGGACATATGTAGCTCGAATGTAGCATGAATTAGTTTGAAATACTCTGTATGTGACAACAAAAACAACTTTTCATTTATCGTAGTGTCAGGCACATAAACATATTGCGTAAAAAATAGATTGACTATTGAAATTTTCTCTCGCATTTATAAGGCCAGCACCTGCCGCATCGAAACCCCAACGAGAATCAATGGAGCGCCGCCACAGCTTAGACATTGTCCTGGACTTTAAGGCATTGATGCAGGCGCGCAAGGCCCAGCTGGAGGATCGGCAGCAGCGCGAGAATCACACAACCACCTCGGCCATATGTCCAAGCGTCAAAACCGAAAGCATGCACCAAGTCCTCAACGAAACGCAGCAACAAAATGCCGACGAGAGTTTCGATGCACTCGAACGCATGTGCGATAAAACCGGCTCCGATCCTGATAGCACTCTCTTTCAATACCTGAACAGCGATGATAAGGAGAAGGTGTTGGCCTTGGCCAAGGAGCGCAGCACTCGTGCTGATAATTGTGAGTGTATATTTAATTTATTTTGTTGTTTATTAAGGGTCTACAAAAAGCGAGTGTCTAAATGCTAATAATACACAATTATCTAATAGCATCATCGACCCGGTGGGAAAAACGTCTACTCATATCTGGGAATGGTCAGTGAGTTCCCGAAGGTATCCTGATAGCAACGATTTCATTAGGGCTAGAGAAACTTTGCTGGAGACAATGTGATACAAACTATTGTAATTCGTACATAGTAAAAGAATTGTGCATAGTAGTAGGGGCTATAATTTCTGTTAGGTCTAGACGGAACAGAGAATTGAAGACGCCATAACACAATAGAAGAATCTATGTCGCCAACAAGCAACTCATGTAGGAAGCTAACGCCGAGGAGTACACAGACTATGTGGGCCAACTTTTCGACAAATTTAAAATCAGGCTTTGGGCATAATTTAATCAGACGCACTGTTGGTAACAACTGTTGCCAATTGCTGCCTGAATCCAAGTATTTGAGCATTTCAGCTAGAAGAAGGCATCGTCCAGCGCATTCCCGATCTAACCATATCCGTCTATTCATATATACCCATTGATCCCGGTTAATTAGGGAATTATGTAGAAATTCGATTTGGAGTTGTTTGCATTATAAAACTCCTGCGCTGGCAATTCAAAGTTTTGTGAAATTACGTGAGAACAGTTTAGGGATAAAAAACAGATATGCTATTATGTATTCCATAGTAAGGTGCTGAGTGTTGCATCCTGTGTAGAAACGACTGTTACGACCATTATTTATTTACTCTTGTTTATTTGTTCATTATGCAGCTAGTGATATGGAAATGTGTGCACTGCGTCGCATGCTGGACGATGTCGGAGACCAGGATCAGCTGTGTAACGAAAGTCCACTAAAGAGTGCTGAGTGTACGCAGTTGGAGGATATCGAGGCGCCATCTCGCTTGTGGGATAATGATTTCACAATCAATGGCAACGATTCTGTTTTTCAAGCAAACGCACAGACGTCGCCTGTAAAAATGGTCGGATTGATGCGACCCTCAACCATATTGGAGGCCAACGAGGCCGACCTGACGGCCGACCTGCAATCCGATGGATCGTCGTCGCACAACAGCAGCAGCTTTATGACCGCGCACACCCTGAAAACGGCTCAAAGCAGCGAAACAATTGCCTCTGGTTCGAGCTGCTACGAGACGGCCGGTGACAATTCGTTGGCCAGCAGCTCGAAGGAGGCAACAACGTTGAGCGTTGATGATTTGTTTTATGCGGCCATTGCCAAGGCCAAGCCGCATGGCATGTCCAAGGGCGAGCAGCAAGAGCTCTTGGGCGATTTACATGAAACTCTAATGGATCTGGCGGTCAACGATGCAGCTGACAGCACGATTATCGAATTGTCTTCGTCCGGCGAGGAGGAGGAGGACGAGGATCAGGCTGTGAAAGAGGGCAACGACCTCAATGCCGATATTAAACAAGAGGAATCTTCCTTAATTGATTCAGAAGCCGAAGAAGAAGACAAGGAGAACAAGTCAATACATTTGAATGGCACCATGGAGGAAATGGAGTATATGATGCAAAAGGCACGCGAATATATGGCTGCCAAGGAGACATCGCCATCGCCATCGCCAGCCAAAACCACATCAGATCCTGATGTAATCCATTTGCATAGGAAACTGCCCAAGCAGAATACATTTTTGATGACGCCCCAAAAAGGAGCCTCATCGCCGCTTCACCAAGGCGCCAGCTCCAAGCTGCCAACTGGCCCTTGCAAATCGCGCTATGCCATAAATATGGATCCGCCAAAAACCAAGTTCTTCAAGCAACCTTCGGCCATACCAATGCGACGCGAATTGAAAGTCCAAAGAGATCATTTTGCACACATTGTTAGTCCCATTCGCACCTATACACAAAAGTCGGGCACCGCCCCACTGATGAGCATGTTCCGGGAAAAGCCGAACATCAACGATGTATTCAACAAGATGAGCATCAAGGAATTGGAGGAGGAGTCACGTCTGTGCCAATTGAAGCGCGGACAGACAGTTGCATCTGACAATTGCAACCTATCGAAGCTAACTCCCGGCTGCATTGATCCTGCTGCTCGATTGCTGCCCAAGAAGGCATACATTTCGTCTGAGCTGAAGCAGGTGAGTAAGAGACTTAATATAAAATTGATTTCGGGCATGAAACTAATTGAAATTGAATGACAAATATTTTACCGTCTTAATGTATCCACAATTGTTGTCTGATAATAACAAAAATTCTCCCACCAGGTCGTTGATGAACGCACACCAATGCCGATGCCGAATGTGCCGAAAATACAAAAGTATCTGGATTCGGCTGTGGAGCCGACGGTGCTGCGCCACGATGGCAAGATGAAATTGCCCACCCAGAGCAACAGCAGCAGCAGCAGGAATACATCGCACATACCACGCCGTCCCAATCAGAGTCTTGCCGATCTGTCGCTTGCCTCGGGCGACATCTCGCTGTACACACTCAAGGATGCTCAAAAGTTTTAATTATTATTGATAAACACAACAAGAAAAGGTTTTCACATGGGATTCGTAACAATTTTATAAAGCGAATCGCGTTTTGTTTTTAAGTTTATAACAAATACACACTAAGATACAACACAGGCAACAATTATTAACTAGTAAATGCCATCGATTACTTTGTAGGCTTGGCCATGCTTATGCCTTTTTAGCCTGAGGTCCTTTCCAAGCACGATTAACCTTTGATTCGGAAGCTCTGCCCAATTCCGTGCATATGTAGCGTCCCACTTCAATGAGCTTGTCCAAATTGACGCCCGTGTTTATGCCCATGCCGTGCAGCATATAGACGACATCCTCAGTAGCTGCATTACCGGAGGCGCCGCGTGCATAGGGACAGCCACCCAGACCGGAGACGGAGGCGTCCACAACACGTATTCCGTATTCCAGCGAAGTTAATATGTTCGACAACGCCTGGCCGTACGTATCATGGCAGTGTACGGCCAGTTGCTGTGCGGGCACAGCGCGCGTCACCTCGTCCAGCATTTTGCGCATGCTGCCCGGCGTGCCCACACCGATGGTGTCTCCCAGCGAGATCTCATAGCAGCCCATATCGTGCAGTGCTGCCACCACCTGGACCACAGCCTTGGGCGGCACAGCCCCCTCGTAGGGACAGCCCACCTGGAAGGTAGGTAAGAGCTGTAGCTAGTATTCGAGCACAACTATCACTATTTGAAGAACTATGCTTACCACAGTCGAAACGTAGCCGCGCACGCGAACTCCATGTTGCTTGGCGGCTGCAAGGACAGGCTTAAAGCGCTCGATAGCCTCTGCCGCCGTACAATTGACATTTTTAAGCGAAAAAGCATCGGAGGCAGCTCCAAAAACGGCCACCTCCTCGGCGCCCGCCGCCAAAGCAGTCTCGAAACCTTTAAGATTGGGCGTCAGAACGGGATAACTTATGCCAGGCACCCGGCGTATGCCACGCAAAACCTCCGCATTGTCACCCATCTGGGGTACCCATTTGGCGCTAACAAAACTGGTGGCCTCAATTGTTTGCAGTCCGGTCTCCGACAGACGATCTATGAGCTCGATTTTTGTGGCAGCGGGCAGCAGCTTGGGCTCGTTTTGCAGACCATCGCGCGGTCCCACCTCCACAATACGCACTGGCGCCGCTGACAACTGGGACATCTGCCTCGCAGTCCTGCCCTGTAAGTATTTGGTTTTATGTGAGATTATCATAGTAAAGCTATATAGCAGACTTACAGTGGCGGAGCACTGGAATAGAGGGCGTGCCAGATATCGTGGAATAAGCATTGTGGCAAATATATAAAGTGCAACTTGTAGAGTGCAGTGCTTCTTCTTTAACCAAGCAAACAGCTGTTGCTTATCAGAATGATCTAGAGTTATCTACCAACTATATAAGACGTTCTGGCAAATATCATTCAAATACTAAAATCCATATAAAAATGTTTATCTTTAAAGGACAGGATACAATTGTCTCTAGCAGGATAATTGTCTTTAAAGGAAAGAGTATACAGTTATTTAAATATTTGAAAGTAACATCGATAGCTTGTTATCGATAATGCTGTGAGTTGTTGCGATCGATTAGAAAAATCGTTGTTTTTTAAATATAAATGAATATAAATTAAATATAAATGAATATTCTTGACTTATATTCGCCATTTTAAATTGAGAAAATTGTAATGCATTATAAAAGCATCTTAATATTTTTTTAAATACATTGAAATGGCGCCAAAAAGAAACTATCGATTATTGCAGCTGCAATATCCAAGTCACGGCTACTTTGACATTGCTCATCTCTAGCTCCCATTCACGGCACGCGCAGACAAATGGAAAACGACAACAATCAAAAAGAAACGGATACAAAAAGTGTTAGGGACGAGAGCGAAGAAAGCGATGACGAGAACGAGGATGTGTTCCACTTTGAGACGGAGCACTTGGCATTACGTGGTAATCAATGCTATGGCAACCTGCTGCGGACCATTGCCACGCTGCAGGCTCAGCGCATTCGCGTCCATCAACAAATAGACGAGCTAGAGAAAGCGCGCGATTTGTATCTGGAGAATCCTCAACTGTTGCTGGACAGGTTGCGCAACAAGGAGCCGCTGATAGCGCCCAATTACTTAACCCCCATTCGCCTGCCTGAGTTGCCCACATTAACAGTTAAGCAAGAGGTCAAAACCGAGACACCAGCGCCCAATTCTCAGCCCACGGAGGAGGACAAGAACAATAGGAATGGCAGCAAAACGCAAACGCGTCTGTGGACGAACGAGGAGCAACTTCGCCTGGAACAGTTGCTCATCGAGTATCCGCCAGAAGAGGTGGAAATGCGGCGCTTTGGCAAAATCGCCAAAGCGCTGGGCAATCGAACAGCGCAACAAGTTTTTAGCCGTGTCCAGAAGTACTTTCAGAAGCTCCACGATGCTGGCATGCCTGTGCCGGGTCGCTTGCCCAAGTACAGGCGAGCGGGCGGCCCCGCACGACCCAAGTTTAACGTACGCCGTTCCACATTCTTTCCGGCCCAGAATATACAAATACAAATGCCAGAGGATGAGTACACATTGGATGACCTGATGCCCGTTGCGCCGTCTCCCCCGCCAACGCCTGCAGTTAAAATCGAACCCAAGCAAGAGCCAGATGCGCTCGAATCGGAGACGCAGCGTAAGCAGCTACTGCAGCTGAAAATATTAACAGCCATACGCGACGAAAAGGTGCAAACCGAGGACGGCTACAGTCCCGATCCGCTGGCGCCCAAGTGCGCCGAATGCGAGGAGTCGGCCGTAACCCAAAAGCGTTGGCATTGCAACAGTTGCTATTGCTATCTAAATCTATGCGGCGATTGCTTAGCCCATCAATTGATCACCGAGCAATTCGAGCACCTGGCTCATGATGTTGTTGAGGATCACGAGCCATGATAGAAACACACGCAGCACACAAGCTTCGAAGCATTCGTCAATTTGTGTAAGTAGTTAATAATTAAATCAAATAAAATGCAGCACATTCTACCTCCAGGACAAAATTGTTGCGTTTCAGGTCCTCACGGGTTTCATTCTAATTTTGTCATAGCTCTTAGAATCAGAACTGAAAGCCCAAGAAAAACTTCGCTGTTTGGGTTTCAAGGCATCTTCATTTTCAAAGATCAGTATTTAATTTGTAAACGCCCGTTCTACTGAAAATATTGCAAACCATAAATATTTTCATTTGGAAATTGCGGGCAAGATTGGGTCTCTACCCAAAATTGCCATCTATCAAATATGATTAGATAGATCCAATCGTTGGGGCCTAGGATTTTGAATACTTTGGCGTTGAGTCTCTAAAAGCTTTTAATTGTAAACCTTTCCTATGGCTAATCCATAAGTTTTCTATTAACAATTATGCTTTCATAGAAAGCATCACGTTGCTCCATCAACATAGGTCTACATCCATCGGAACAATCGATGCATAAGGTCTAAGTTCTGTCAAGATCTTAATACTTGTTGCTCCAGAAACAAAATGCCTTGATGTATACAAGTAAAACTTCATCTTGCCTGTAACAAAATATTTGAAAAGAATTTAAACAAACAATTTCTGTGTAATTTTTTGCCATACGCAACGGCTCAAAGAATTATTTATTTGATTTTAAAAACATTCGCTCGGAATGCCGACTAATCATACAAACATATTTACATTGATTATTTATTATACGTACGTGTACACAAAAACTGGAGTCCCAACTCAACCATTTATTGGAAAATTGCAAAGTTTGTTTATGTACCTACATATTGTACATAGACTGGAATTATGTAAGGAAAAACTGACATTAAACTAAAGCCTTATCCGGTTACCCCCACGACGAGCTAATTCTTTGGTTATGCGCGTGCCCTAGCCGGGATTGGTTGCTCAGCTCTTGACACGCGCCGCACTGCGTTTGCCCTCGATCCATTGCTCAATCTCCAGCTTGAGCGCCTCATTCGACTTGACCTTGTCCATGGTGAGCGGTTCGCGATTGAATGGATCTGTCTGATCGCTGAGCAGGTGGCGTGCAATTGTGGAACGATCAACGGTCACGTTTGAGCTGGGCAGCACCACGGGATCGGTCATGAGCGTTGATATAATCGGATCCAGATACTCTTCGGGCGCATCGGCCAGCAGCTCTTGCTCCTCCTTGTAATCGTCGCCCATTTTCTGCACCTTGGCTGCAAACTCGGCCATGTCGCCAATTAGCTGACCGCCACCGATGCGTATCAATATATTCTCGGCATAGCCGAATAGCTGATCGCTGTAGGAGCGTCCATCCTGGGATACGGCCAGGCAGAACGAATTGTCCGTACTTAGATTTATGTAGATGTGCGCTATCTCCAGCACCATTTGCGCCGGATCAAACTCGAACTCCTTTTTGTCCTTGACCTTGAAGCGTTCGCGCTGCGGCCCCACCAAATGCAATAGAAAATAGTTGAGCATGGCCGCAATGCGATCGACCATGCTGTTATGGCAGAAGATGCTCTTAATCTCGCTGGTCAGCAGCTTTAGCAAATTGATGGTGTCACGGCCCAGTATATTATCGAAACGTGCCAACATGCCCAGATGATGCAGATTGGTGGTCTGCTGTTGACGCTCGCTGTGCGACAGATTGTTCCATTCGCCGTTGTCTTGAGCCTGCTGCAGCTGTTTGATTTGCTCCAGATTGGAGAGCGACTCGTCCAGCAGAAAGATGGCATCGTTGATCAGCAGATTGATGAAGCGTAAAAATATTGGCGGCTCAATGGCCTCCATGTTGCGTTCGGCGTCCTGCGCCAGCTGCCTAAAGCACTCAACATGCTCCTCCTTGGTCCACAGAAACTCCATGATCGCGTACATGGGACGGCGATAGTTGAACTTCTGCTCAAACTGCACCGACTGACCGGTCATTTCGATGCTGACGAACACGTTGAGCAGACTGCGCACCACCTGCAGCCGATCTGGGTGACTGTCAAAGACGTGTGTATGGAATGCCTTGCGATTGCTGCCCGAGATTTGTGTGGGCAGCAGAAACTCTAGAGCGTCGGCCAATTTGGCGCGCAAATGCGGATTCTTGACCAGTCCCGAGCTGCCCATAAACAATAGTATCATCTTGAAGAACGCATCGTGCGAGCTGGTGTACATTTGTATATACTGATCGCCGGGAAAGCTGCGACAGAAATTCAAATAGGCCGCAATGTTGTCGATAATATTCTCCGGCACCGATTTCATATATGGCGCCACAAAGGGCGGTGTTTCGGACAACAGCTCCAGATCGCGCAACAGCTGTGGCGCAAAGTCCTTTTTGTCCAGTCCCGCTTCGTAGGATTCACGCGGCAGCATCGCTATCTCAGTGAGCCAAATGGCGGAGGCCTCAAAGAACTTGAGGATGGCGGTATCATTTTCAGGTTCGGCCAGGCCATTTCTTATGCAGAGCACCTGTTGCATCTGATCCTGCAGCATGCGAAACAGATTCTTGGTTAGATCGTTGTTCGGATCACTGGCCGCCACATCCTGGTAGGCGGTCTGTGTGTTCTGCAGCTCACGCATCATGCGCGTCAAACGCTCAATGCACGCCCGATTGCCCAGCTCGAATGCCTTGTGCGCCAAGTAGAAGATCTCGGTGATGAAATTGTACTTAGCCGCTGTTAAGCGCTGTTCCCCTTCCTCGGTGGGCAGTAGGCATGTCTCCTCAAACGCCTTCAGCATATTAACGCCCTTCGATTGGCGTTCCAACGGGTCCGCCACCGCACAGTATGTGGGATCTACCAGCAGCACCTGCAATTGAATTTCAACTTTAATATATGATGCGACATAGTGCACAGATTAGCTAGCCATGTACCTTTAAGGCGGGCGCGCAGAGCGGCGCACACAGACGCATCAGCACGGCGCTGAGGCTGGTCATAAATGCATCACTGGCGGTGCTGTGCACGGTCTGCTCCAGATTCAAGTTAATGGTGCTCCACAAATGACCACGCGCCACATTCGCGTCCAGACAGTTGGCAATCCAGTGCAGCGTCTTCTTCTTGGTGGCGGAAGATTGTACGAGCAGTTGTTTGACCAGCGTAAACAAGGCCTGCTGATGATGTGCCAGCAGCTGCCAGAGTGTGGGATCCGATTGCTGAGAGATCAGCGATATGTCGCGGAAAAATTCATAGGGCGCCGTTTGAGTCTTGGGCATAATGGACATGCACAGCAATTGGCCCAAAAGCGTATCCATGTATTCACCACCTGAAAAGCTTAAATGTGAGTATTTCGCATTTTTCTGGTTAGGATTACCTACCTTTAGCCTTAGGATTGGGTGTGGTGAAGTCAATGAGCAGCTCGCCGAGTATGCCGGCGCGTTTTTCGCGCACAAAGAAGCCCAGAATCCAGAATATATTCTTTCTGATTGTAATCAAATTGTCTTTGAACAATTGCTTTTGCAATTCACTTAGCATAGGGTAGAATATGGCCTTTAGAGCGCCCAGCGCCTCCAGTTCCTCAACATCTTCGAGCACCTTTTCTGCCACACGGATCAGAAACTCCTGCGTACTGGTATCATGCTCGTCCGCCTCCTCGAACAACTCGAGCCACTGCGCTGAGAATGTTTGTAGTGCAAATAGATCCGGCTGGCGCATGCATGTGCTGGCATTGTTTAGGATCAAGTCAAGAATTCGATTGCTATGTTCCTTGTCCTGCAGGCTGCCAGTGCGCTGTATCTCCTCCCATCTGGTGAATGCGCCGTGCAGGTAAATGATGGCCCGCATCTCCAGCGCTTGCTCCTCTTGCCTTTGATCAACCTGTCCAGATGGCATCAGGTATTTTGTGGTCTCGTCCAGCATGAGGCGCTCGAACAGGGCATGCGCCAGCAGATCCTCGCCAAGCGTGTCCTCGGTGCTATTGTCGGCCACAACGACATCGGCCAGACAGAGCACCGGCCGATTGCGCTTGGTGTCCGCATCTTTGCTCAGTGTAAAAAGCAAAATTGATTCGATCAGCTGCTTGGACACGCCATTGGCCTGGGTGCCATCCTGCAGCAGAGCTGCGAATGGATTCTCGGTGTCTCCAACTTTGGACATTGTTGCGACCTGCATAGTTTATCGTTTGATTGTAAATTTATGATCAATATTTGCTTCTACAATATCTACAATATTATTAAAAATTTTTATATTTTCTGCTACCTGTCACTGTGTCACTATGCGAATTAGCACAAAAATCGAGCAATCGAATACATTTATCGAATCCGTAAATACTAAATACTAGTTAATACCAACAGGTATTTATCGTATTTTTCGGTGCAAACTTGCAAATTACCAAAATTGTATTTTTTCCTTTTTAAATTGTACTTAACGAATTTCGACTTCAACTGAAACTAACAAAAATGTTGTATGAACCGGCAGCTAAAATGCGCTCTAGGCGAATATGTGTCAAATAGTAAATATAACAGTTATTAATCTTTATAATGCAATTGGCTTTTGTAAATTTCTTTATGAGAAAGTCTGCCAAAAAAGTATAACTAAACTAAACATTATTTCTGGCCAAAAACCTGTACAACCAAAAGTTAAGTAAGCCCTGTGCCGAAACGATTCCATCAAATACATAAATCAAACAATGTCTTGCAAAATAAATAAAATAGTAATAAATCAATTTGATATACTCTATCATAATTGGCAAAATGTACTCAAGTAACCTCTACAATCTCTACATGCAATTAATTATGCCAATCCATAAAATGCAAAAGTAATTGAAACAAGCCATTCAAGCACACAAATCTGCCAATTACATTTAAATAATTAAGTATGAACTGGCTAGTGCAAGGGCAAATGTGGGGCAAATCAAAATCCAGCTAAGGGAAGGGCGCAGCCGCATGCACTCAAAAGCGCGCGCGTGTGTGTGTGTGAGTACATATATGCATATGAGCGGGTGTGTGTGTGGCCAAATCCAAAGCCAATTAAGACAATCAATTGTTGAAAAGCCACCCACACAGCAAATGCCATGTGGCCGCCGGCGCCTGGCACCCCGAACTTAAATAAACCATTTCTGCTTACCCCGTTAAGTGTTTGCCGATAGAGTAATAAATGAAAGAAACAAAAAGGTACAAATTGAAAAAAAAAAAACAAAATAAAATACTTCGTGTGCCGTTAAATCGGCTTCTGATCAACTGAAATGAACACGTTCAAGTTCGTTGATTTGGCATTTTTGCCATTTTTGTTTTCATTTCGTATCAGTCGGCGCTGCGTCTTCAAACGGTAAACACGCGCAACTGCAGCCGGAAAAAACGGTAAAATTCAATTGAAAATCGAATATCGCAACTGAAGCAAAAAACACCTGCGCCTGAATTATTTACGTTCAATCAAAAGCTGCAATTTATCAATAATGTGGGTGTAATTAATTTTAAGCGCTTCCGGATTAGCTTAAAAAATATCATTCACTTTATAAAATGCAATATTTTAAGCCGAAACTTAAGTGCGTGTGCCTTTGTCAATATTGACTTTTCGAGTGCTTATTGGATTCCAATTAGAAACCCAACTAAAACCAATTGAATCAATTAAAGTTCATATAATTTACTTATTATCGAAGAGTTAGATCGTAAATAGTTATAAAAATGCAAAATTATTCAAGTAAATGCAATAATTATTTGTTATGGATATTTTTTAGGAAAAATATAATATTGTGTGTTCTTGTAAGCTTTGATTCAGGCTGTCTTTTAATATAAATAATATATGATATAAATATAAATATTTATTGCTAAAAGTAAAGAATGTACACATTCATTTGCATTCTAGAAAAATGATAAATTCATTTAATGACAGCCAATTTTGCAGCATTATTTTAGTACAACATGTCGTATGTGTAATAATTCTCAACGCCTAAAAAATGCTATAAAAATCCCAATATTTAAAATAATTTTAATCTTTTGAATTCTTAGCATTAGCAACTTGTCTAACATTACTCTTTCAAATAGTAAGCTCTTAAATTGTTCTATATTTCACTTCCACTTTCATGAACCAGAGCAATGAGCACATTACGTATACGCCCCCTTAAGCCGGCGCTGCAAGCGATTGCCGTGCAGGAGCTGAACGAGGTGCCGCATCGGGTTGCCGACGACATTGAGGCATTGAGGGATTGGGTGCTGAAGCAGCCGCATTTGCGGGGCTGCACCGATCAACAGTTTCTGTTGGCCTTTTTGCGCGGCACCAAATTCAGTTTGGAGCGTGCCAAACAGAAATACGATCGCTTCTATACGCTGCAAGCATCCATTCCAGAGGTATTCAACGAGCGACGTTTGGCAACGGATCCATTGGTCTTAGATATTATACGCTCTGGGTAGGTATATTGTTTGCTTCGAATCGAATATAACTGAAAAAAAGAGAAAACTTGCAGAATTGTTTCTGTTAACAGCGTCTTCTTATCAGCAGTTTTCTCTGTTAACGTTAACAGCTTCACCTTAGGAGCTGTTAACATAAACATTCTCACTTAACAGCTGTCTGCTGTGTTAACATTAACAGCTTCTACTTAACAGCTGTCTACTGCGTTAACGTTAACAGCGTCTCCTTAACAGCTGGCTGCTGCATTAACGTTAACAGCGTCACTTTAACATTTACGGTACTTTTACAAGTTGTTACTTGTTATAAAAATTCTAAACTAATTTGTCTTGTTTTCGGTTAAATTTTATTGGCTGCGTACCGAAATATTCAAAAATTAAATATATTTTTCGACTAATTCTTGCAGCATCTTGCTACGCATACCGCAAGACGAAGAAGATACCGGACCCTGCGTGTCCATCATACGCGCCGGCTCCTACGATACCAGCAAATATAAATTTCAGGATATTATACGCGTCGGTTCCATGTTCGGCGAGATCATGATGTTCGAGGATGAAAATGCAACTGTTTCCGGTTACGTTGAGATCATGGACATGAAGGGCGTAACTGGCACTCATCTGTTCGCCCTGCAGCCGGAGCTATTGCGTAAATTCTCAGCGTATGCCGATGAGGCAATGCCCACACGCCAGAAGGGCATACATTTCATCAATGTGCCGCCAGCCTTTGAGACGGGTTTCAATACATTGCGATCTTTCTTTCCGGCAAAGATTAAGAGTCGGGTGAGTGCAGTCTCAGTTCCAGCTCTGGAATGATCAATATTCCGGCAATTCGTTTTGTTTAAATGCAGATTTCAGTGAGCTCCGATCCAGATGCCATATTCAATATTGTGCCGCGGGATTATTTGCCCCTGGAATATGGCGGCACTCACGGCCTTGTCGAGGACATTAGCCAAGCCATGGAAAGGAAAATTTTCGGCTACGCACAATATTTCCTGGCATCGCAGCACTTTGGCACCGATGAAAAGCTGCGCGACTTTAACAGTCCCGCTCTGGATAAATGCAGCTCGTTCGGTGCAGTCGGTTCATTTCGAAAATTGGAAATCGATTAAACTGGATTATCAGCAATTTTATAGACAATTCGCTTTACGACTGCACATTACAAATTGAATTTATGAGCAATGCCTTGTTAAGCTTATCGTATAATCATGTTTACCTGGCGATATCATTAAATTGCTCTACTTAACATAGTGCATGGTAGGGTAGTGCATTTTGGGTCCTCTATAATAGCTGACCTTGAAAAATCGAAGTATTTAAAAAATTACTCAACGCCCCACTATGCGATTCTCATGATAGCAGCTAAATATGCAGACTTGGGCACAGTTTTTCTTCCAGTTTAAATGTAAAATATTACATTTACAAAATCCAGTCTGAACTCTATTTCCCATGCTAATCTGCCTGCTAAAACGTACCAGTTAGTTAATCTGCATTGTAGATATTTGACATGGGCTGTATAAGCCAGCAATTTCGACTTGGTGTTGCCACATATTTATAAAAATTGTCAAGCTCTTGGCAAGTACCTTGAACTTTGCCGTGAGGATAAGAAAACTGACCTTTCTTTTAAATAAAAAGAGGGTTTTGATTTCCGCTTCAGACCTATAAATAATAAGGCGTGTAACATATTTTGGTGTTTTTAATGTTTGGTTTATTTTTGTTTTCCATTTGATATCATTTGCCATTGAGCCACCAAATTGTTGATGTTATTATTTTGAAAATGCCTCAAATTCGTATTATGGGAATTGTGTGTATATAAGTATGTGAGTCGCTCTTAGTCGTAGTTAACCCGATGATCAGTAATAAATATACATAGATTTGAACTAGTTTTGAGTTTCTGCAACTACTCGTACATAATATTTTAGGATGTTGTTGTCCTTTTTTGTTTTTGCTTTCTGTAAAGTACACAGTGCCGCATTTCATACTTCGTTGATGGGTCGCGAGCTCTTACGCGGGGGCGGAGGGCTCGGCGGCGGACTGAAGTCCGTTTCCGTATCGTTATAATTGTAGCGGCTGTCCGATGGCGACAGCGAGCGATATGTGCGCGGCGAGTGCATGTAGGAGCCGCGACGGCCCCAGCTGCCGCTGTGTCGCCTGTGCCGGTCCATGCCGCGATCATCATCATCGTCGTCGTCGTAGTCATCGTAGTCGGTGTAGTCGTCGCGGTCATCGCGATGCGGTGAGTAACGATCGCGCGACGACGAGGTCGGCGGCGGCGAGCGCATGCGGCCCAGCGGCGGTGGACGCGCACCGCCGGCAGCTACTGATGGTGGCAAAAATGGCGGCGGCAGCCCCATAAACGGCGTGAACGGCGCCGGCAGGAATGGCAGTGGATTGGGCATGCTCAACAGACCGGGCGAGCCGGGCAATGGCAACGGCGACGGCGTGGTCGTCAGTTCGTTTGCGCCCAAAATGCCGCCGTTGGCGGGCAGCGCATCCAGCGACACATCGCCCGATCCACTTGCCATGGCCGTCAGCTTGCGCCGCAGGCCGGCGGCTTCGGCCTGCGCCTCCTCGCAGCGACGCTCGGATTGACGCGCCGCCAGCCAGGACTCGTGCGCACGATTCTCCAGCGTGCCCATCTGTGCCTTGTGCGAGGCAATCTGTGCCTCAATCTCGGCGCGCAGCTCATCGTTTTGAGATCTAGCAACATATAAATGGTCAAATATGGATAAAAACTAAATATATATGTCACATACTTCAGCATCTGAATTTCATTTTTCATCAGCGTTTGCGTCTCCACAGTGCTGGCATTCTCGCCCTGGTGCTGCAGCCACTTGGCCTCCTGCAAGCTGAGCTCTCTGAAAAAGGAAAGGATGTTCTATTATAATACAGTGTATATAAAACAATACAGTTTTTGGATATGTATTACTAGGAGAATGGGGCTTTAGAACACAAGGGGCGCGGGAAAATTATTCCATGAATTAATTATTATAAACATTTTCTATAAATACTTTTGCAGACTCTTCTAAAAGAAATCAATACGCGTTTCACAGTCTTTTGTAAAATCCACCCCTATGAAAAGCTAGTGTTAATTTTAGGCAACCCACTTTTGCAGCTGCGTTTCCTTTTCGCGGAAATAGCCGGAGAGCACTTCAAGACGCGTTTGCGCCTCGAGTTTGTCCCGTTCGGACTGATTGAAGTCCTGTTTAAGCTGTTCGACGTCCGCACTGGATGCCTGCAGCTGACTCTCGAGACGCGCCTTGTTGGCCAGTTCCTGTTCCAGCTTCGTTTGCAGCGACATAAACTTTTTCTGCGCTGCATTCAGTTCGCCGCGTGTCTTTGCTGATGTAATTAGTTCCTGAAGATTGGTGTTGCCGTCCTTCTTGATCGCTTTGAGGCAATCTTCGAGCGCCTCGATTTTGGCTTGGCTGGTCTGCAGTTCACTGTGCTCTTTGTCGTATTTGGCATTCAGTTCCATGATCTGATGCTGCAGCCGCTGCATTTCGTAGTTGCGCGCCTCTAGAGCCTTGGCTAGCTCCTGCTCGGACTCCGCTTGGATTTCCTCAAGGCGCGTCTGCAGCTTCGACTTGTCCATTTCCAGCTCGTAATTATCCTGCTGCAGCGACTTCATTTCGCTGTTCAGGCGCGTTGTCGACTCCGTATAGGAATATTGCAGCTCGCTATTCTCGCGACTCTTCTCCGCCAGACTTGCGTTAATGTCAATGATGATCTCTGCGAGAAATGTACATGCAAAATGGATCACTTGATTCTACAGGCTGTGCAGATGCTATAAACACTCACTTTCCTGATCGTTCAGCTGGCGCTGCAGCTCGTCAACAGTGCTCATGAATGCCTCGTCGCCATTCTGGCTGTTCAACACCTCGGACAACATTTTGTTCAGCTCCAAGCCCGCTTCGGCGGCATTATCCAAATCCTGTGTGATGCATAAAGAAATATAATGTTAGTATTAACTTTCTATATATTTTTCTTCTGCCTCACCTTCTCCAAGGAGCTAACCTGCTCCTGCAGCTTGGCCTTCTCGTACAGTTCCGTCTCGAGTTGTTTCTTCAGCGCGACAACCATATCATTGGAGCCAAAGGAGTTATCCTCAATGCTCGAGAGCTTCGTGCGTGTTGTCATCAGTTCGTGCTTGATTATCAGGTTCTCCTTGTGCGCGGCCAGCAGACTGCGCTCCAGATGATTCAGCTTGGCGAGCAGCGCACCCTCCTGGCTGCTGTTGCAGAAGCAATAGTAGGTGAATATAAAGAACAGCGACGAGGCAGCCGCAATGACCACGCAAAGCAACAACAGGCTATGTTCCAACAGCTTCGCCGCCAGCACCTCCACGAAATTGTCCAGGGTAATGGCAGCATGGCAGTTACCATTCGAAGGCCGCGTGCAATAACCCTCGCCATGAGCATCAGCTGTGGGTATACAAATTATATTGATTTAATGATGGAGTTTTATCAATAGATTTATATTTATTTTTTACGATTGCCCGTTGTGTCAGAAAATATTGCATATCGTAAATATTTTCACATACAAGATGCGGGCTAAATTTCAATCTCTACCCAAAATTGGCGTCCACCAAACATGGTAGGATATGTATCCAATCGTTGGGACCAAAGGAATTTTAGCTTTGGTGTTTCGTTTTTTTTTTGTTTTGATAAACGTTTTAAGTTTAACTTTAGGTTCAGAGTAGTGTAAATATTGGATTTTGCTCGACTTTTAGCCCTTATCTGTATCGGAGTATAATTGTAAAACGCAGACTTACCTTCTGGAATAGCCGCATCTGGATAGAGCAAACGATGCAGCTCATCGTTGCCTGTAAGCGGCGCGGTTTTTGGTTCCTTATGATCTTGATGGGATATAAAAGAGTTGACAGTGTCCATAATGGTGCCAAAGAGACCCAGTCCCAGACCGGCATCTTCTTTGAGCGTTTCTGTTGGCAATCCAATTGGCTCCACGGCGTCGGTAGCGATGATTTGCTCGGCTACGCCGCGTGCTGGTGGCGCAGGCGTTGGCTCTGCCTGGTTAACTGCATCATATGCATCAAATGCGGCTGACGTGGGCGTGGTGTGCAGCAGAGCATTCCCGGCCAGTTGCTCCTGCAGCTTCTCCTTCTGCTGTTGCTCTGCCTGCAGCTTCTCCTGTAGCTGTTGCTCTTCCTGCTTCTGCTGTTGCAGCAGCTGTTGTAGCTGCTGCTGTTCCTGCTTCTGCCTTTCCAGTAGCTGTTGTCGCTCCTGCTCCTCCTGCTGCTGCTTCTCCTTTTGCTGTTGCTCTTCCTGCTGCTGCTTTTGCTGTTCCAGCAGCTCCTCCTGTTGCTGCTTCTCCTTCTGCTGTTGCTCTTCCTGCTGCTGCTTCTGCTGTTCCTGCAGCTGTTGTTGCTCCTTTTGCTTTTGCTCCTGCTGCTGTTGTTCCTGCAGTTGTTTGTAGTATTCATTTGGATTATGCTGGAAATGCTGCTTATTGAACAATGGAGGCAAGCTGGCTGGCACAACCGGGTCCTCAATGGGCGTGGCCGTCGAGCTAGCCACATCATTGACTGTCTGTGCTCCGTCTACTTTTGCCTGCGTTTCTTTTTGGGCTGTATCGATTACAGCTGCTGCCTCCAGTGCTTCGCTTGGCGCAGTTGGTTCCTCGTCTTTGGCTGCAACTGGCGCTTCGGTTTGCACCTTAACGGATTCAGTTTCATTTGACTGCGTTGCCTTCGGCTCTTGTGTTTGTTCTGCTACAATTGGATCCTGCTGCGTCTTAATTTCGCCTTCAGCTTGCGCCTTGCTGGTTTCTTCTGCTGCTGTGTCTGTCGTTGGCTTGGAGCTGGCTTCTTTTACTTGGTTTTCCTTTTCAATCTGCTCGCTTAGCGCCTGAACCTGAGCTAGCGTTTCACTTGGTAAAGTCTCCGTTGCGGTTGCTTCTTGAGGCTTCGGCTCTGCGACTGGACCCGACATTAGCTGAGCTTTCGTTTCCTCTTTGGGCAGCTCTGCATCAGGTTCTGCTCTTGGTGCAGGTTGCTCAACTGTTGCTATTTGTGGCTTTGCCTCCAGCTTCAGCTGCTCCTCTGTGGGCACAGCGCTGACATTGCGCGTTTCTATAAGCAGCGCAGCTGGAGTTGCCTTAGGAATAACGTCTGGACTTTTGTTACCAGCTAAGGCTGCATGCTTTTCCTTATCTGCGTCTGACGCATTCGTTTGCCGAGCGTCCGCCTCTGGCTCAGGTGTTTTGGCCAGTTGAGCGGCTGCAGCATTTGCTTTGTTATCGGCTTCTGTTTCGTTTTGTACATCGTTGACTTGACTATCAAGTGTTTCCTCGACATCGTCATCGTCTTCGTCTTCCTCGTAAATTTCAGCGTCATCTGCCGCGTAATCGAATGTGTCATCGCTTTTCGGTTTGCCCTCGAGCTCAGCATTGTTTTTGGTTGCGCTATTTGTGGCGTCTGCATGGGAAAGGTTCTGAGTTCGTTCTGTAACAGCGACCACAGCCTCCAGCGGCAATTCCGTGCCATCGACCAGCTGAAGATTGGGCTGTACAGGTGTTATGGGAGATGGTGCTTCACTGCTGCTCGTTTGCTCCTGCTCAGTGAGTATGGCCAGTTTGAGTGTGTCCAGCGGCGAGGTGGTTGTTGTTGCTATATCATCGACTGTCTCGGAGGCATTGAGCACAGCTGGCTCCAGCGGCACTTGTGGGTCTTGAGCTGGACTGTTCGCAGTGCGAGCTGTTGCTGCTGCAGCAGCTGTTGCTGGTTTGGGTGGCCAAGCTACTGGCACTTCATGCTTGAGATCCTTTTCTTTAATCACAATTCTCTTCTCCATGATGAAATCCCTGTTGGCATAGCCGCGACGTCCATTAATCTCCACGCCCCACAGCTTTGGATTGTTGCCAGCGCCCTTGGACAATATGCGCACCGGCGAATGAATCTTAAAGGACAGCATGCCATCTTCTCCAGACGTATAGCTGATTTTAGCCGTACCGAAAGAGATGATCTCTGCGAAAGGTTGGGAAAAAAAAACAATAAATAAGTCAAAGTATTATGAAATGTGGTTTCTTATCGCAGTCAGAAAAATGTCAAGGTTAATTCTTAAACTTTATTTTATAGTTTTGTCCCGGTTATTGCTTGCAATACTTACGTTCACATTTTTCGTCAGCGCACAGTCTTTTGTCGGACAAAGCCCACGTCGTCGGAAGACATGAAAGGGAAAGTGTTAGTGTTATGGTCAGGTAAATGGCGAAATCACTCCACGGCGTATTGGTTGGGGCATTTGCGTTTGTTGGCCGCATTTTGCATTGTCTGTTTTTCTGGCACTGTTTACAATCGAATTAAACTAAACCACGGCTTTAGTAACAATACAGTTTGTGTGCGAAATTTTTTTTGTGTATTAAAAATTTCTTCACATTAGCTGAGTTGGCTTTTCGTCACAACAGCTGCTGTCGGTGTTGCCACATTTCTTAAACAAATCGACTTATCGATAAATTTATATATACTGATTAAATGCTAAGGTTGCTCGCAATTACATTAGTTTTTTCGATGTAAATCAACGGTGTGTCAACTAACACATAAGTGTCAATTTTTTTAATCTTTGTAAAAATATTAAAATTTTGGTATCATGGTGTAATTTTTAATTATGTGGTGTGTATTTCATCATTGACCGGCTGCGGTCACACTGCAAAGTCTCTGGCAATAGCTACATTTTAAACGCTTTAGTCTGTTTTAAGTAAACCTAAAGTGCAAAAATGTGAACGCGCTTATATGTTAACGCGACAGTTAAGCAAATAATAAAGGACACAAGCCAACCAAAAGGTTTATGTCTCTACTGTTAATTTGATGTGTTGTGTTGTGGTAGTTCTTTTAAGAGAGCAGCAGAGAGTTGGTTGCCTTCAAAAATGCCCGAATGTGGCTTGTTAATATTCGCGCAAGTGTATTTGACTAGCGAAATGTCAATTTAGGCAGTTATGTTATTTTCGTTTTTATGTGCATTAAATTCTATTGTTGGGAGGGGAGCTGCGTAAAAAGAGCGCGACATTTAGTGCGCTGCCAGATGTGCGTTTTCAAAGTCGTGAGTTAGTTTTACCAGTGAATAGTGTAAAATAATAAGTATATGTAATAAGTATATTACCAAGTGACAAATAATTAAATATTAAATTAAAAGACACATTTTAGCAAATAATTCGGTGCAATATTAGCTGTGATAAGAAGCGAAATTGCGCTTTTACCATTCTGGCAACGCTGTGTGCGCTCCAAAATCAGCTCTGAGCGCGTGTCGTGTTCTCGTCGTGACATATTGTTGGTCCAAAAAATATAATTATAATTTTTAAGTCGCTTTCGAATAACGGTATGCGCTCGAAATGTATTTCAGTCGCGTGCGCGTTAATTTGCTATTTTTTAAGCTTTAACAAACTTTAACTTTATCAGTTTTATAATAAAGTACTCCTTTTTGTCGTGATTTGCAAGGCGCATCACTATCAGCTAGGCAGAGAGAGAGAGTGAGAGAGAGCGAGAGAGACCAGTGGCAGTGCGTGTTCCTGCTGCTGCTGCCTGCCACTGCTCATTATTGTCGATTTCTACCTTTTGCATTTTAAACGTCTTTGTGATCGGTTGTTGTTGGTTGTTGCTCGGATGCGATTCAGTTACTTCGTACGTTTTATTTTCCTTCAACATACCACCCCCTTCGTATGGAATATATATTGTGTAACAAATCAAAATATGTGCAAAAGAATGCGCCAATAAAATATATATATATATATATATATATCTGTGTTAAATCGGCGCAAAGTAAAATCAACCAAATGCCAAAGTGTAACAAAAAACAATAACATGGGCCTGTGAAACAACGAAACGCACACAGCGCCCAAACCAAATGCAAGCCAAAGCAATGCAAAATTCAACTCCAGTGTAAAACCAACAACAAAATAAAAATCAAAATTAAAAAAAAAAACTGACCAAAATTCTATGCACGGAAAAAAGTGAAATGTAATAAAATCCTTTGTTCGCATACAAATGCCAACAACAAAAAGTGTTTTTTCAAAAGTTCACTCTCCAACCAAAGAGAGAGAGAGAGCGAGAGAGGAGTGAGTGAGGGAGCGATATAGAATGTGACGTAATTTATATTTATTCTAAACAAATACTGAAAGCAAATTGCCAAAAAAAAACGAAAAATACAAATATAACAGGAGCGTGTGCATTTGAACGTCCCTCTTGACAGTTTGTAATTACCAATTGCAATTGGCTTTTAATTTGAATTTTGCATGCAACAGGGCGCACACATACATATATATATATATACACACATGAGGAACGTCCCATGAGAGAAAGGCAAGCTGGTGGTGTGGTAAACAAAAATACAAAATGTGCATGGGGAAAACGATATCAACAATAACAACGACAATGGCATGGAATTAATGAAGGAAAAACATAACAAAATAGCGGCAGAGCTGTCGAACTTAGCAACGCAACCGCCGCCGACTGCTGCCCACAGAGAGCAAACCATTTTTTCTCGCAAATATCAAAGAAAAGCAACAAAACAAAAACAATAACAACAATTAGGTAATGTTTTTACGCCATTCTCTTTTGCGTCGTCGTTTCGTTCAGTTGCGAGAGTTGCGATACGCGAGAGCGAGAGAGCAACGCGCGCGCTCATTTCAATGCCGCTGATGTTTTTTTTTCTCTTTTTTTTTTCTTTTTTTTTTGTTTGACTTTTGTTTTGAAACAGTTTTTACATGGAAAGTTTTTGTGTGTTTTAGAGAGGAAAATTTTCGTGCTTGTAATGTTCTGATTAGAAGCAAAATTTGTATGATATCAAATTAAATGTATATAAAGTCTTATTAAGTTTTTATTCGCAGTGTTGACCAAACCATATATACACATACTCTTACACATACTTAAACATTTAGTCTAAATTTGATTTGTTGGGCCATTGCATTTGAAATTGCCGAAAAAATGTAAATGCCACACGCAAACAAGTTTTTGTAACAAGCTACAAAAGGAGGAGTGTACAAATTAATTGATGTGCGTGTGCAAACAAAAAAAAAAATTAAATAAATAAAAAACTAATAAATCTAAACAAACAATTCTAACAAATTGATTTAAAAAAAAAGGAAACAAATTATAGTCTAGTTACCATGTTGCATAAAATTGATGAAAATGCCGCGCCAACTGTAACGTCAACACCAACAACAACAACAGCAACAACAACAAGTACAACAATTATGGCCCCGGCAGAAACAACTGGCAATGGAACGGAGCCAACTATTTCAACGCACCTTGCAAATGCGACAGCAACAATAGAACCAACAACAACAACAACCACAGCGACGGCTGAACAAGAAACAGTCGCTGCGGTTGTTGTAGCTGCTGCCGCCAACGCTGCTGTCGCCGTCGCAGCAGCAGCAGCAGCTGCTGAGGGTCAAGCAACAGAAACAGCAACAGCAACAATGACAGTGACAGCCAACAATATACCGACGCCATTGCCGCTGTCAGCTGCAGCGGCAGAGCACACTGAATTAGCGACAACAGCTGATGTCGCTGCCGCTAACTCTGCCTCTGCCGCTAGGTCTGCCAGCGAGCACCAGCCTGAGGCAGAGCCAGAGCCAGAGCCAGCAGCATTCGATGTTCAGATGCGTACGCAGCAACAACAGAAAATAAGAATTTATCACGGCGCCAAACAGAGCGCAGTATGGAGAACCGATTCGCTCGCTTCCAATTCGAGCAGCTCAAACCGAAGCGAGGCCGGATCGACCGAAGCTATGGCCACCAGCAGAGCCCACAGCGGCTACTCGACAGCGCCCAGTCTATTGCAGCGCAAATTCTCGGACAGCTCATTTAATGCAGCAACGATGCCGCGCCGCGTCTCATTCCCGGAAAGTGATAAGGAGCTTGTCACCGGATATCTTGAGCCGGCCAATCCATGGGAAAAAGGTAAGTCATCTACGAGAAAAATGTATGCAAATTAGTAGCAGTTATATATATACATATATACCATGTGATTATGGAGTAGACTTATCATTCCTGTTGAGCCTTGTTGAATATTCAATATGCAATTGTGGCGATCTGGCATCACAGATACATATGCATACATTTCGTTTTTTTGTCTTTGATAAATTTGGTTACACTTATTATCGATTTCACAATCTTACAAAAAGTATGTAAATATGCTTGCAGTTTTAATGGACATATTTTTTTTTAAAGCTTTTTGCAAAAAAATTAATGCTTAATATCTTAGAGTTACACATTCTTAAGGATATAGGATATACATCCTGGTACTTGGGGCCCATGCTAACTAATGTTATATAGTGAACACAATAATTGTTTGCATCTATGTTCCGAATACTTTGTTTCCGATATATTTACATACATATATACGCGTGTAGTAATACGTGATGCGGTAGACAATTTCCCTGAGTATATGGACTATGCCTCAGATATCGGCATACGTCTTATTATTCGGGAACTCGTGCAAACACGGAAGTAAAACTTGAGACACATGTCGTGAAATGCACTTCCTGTGATTTATTTCAATTAAACAGATTAATTTGCTTGCGAAAATTGAAGTGCATTGAAAAACTAAGAGAAACGTACAAAGCAAACAAAAATCATAACAACAAGAACAGCAAAAGCAAGAACAACAAGAAAAAACAACAACTACTACAACAACAACAACAACAACGACAACGGCAATTCGCGTGCAGTGCGAAAAGGACTCAAATAACCAATCAAGCAAAACGAACGGTTGATCATGCTGCCGGCAAGTGTTGCTGGCAGATGCAATGTGAGAGAGAAAGAGAAAGCATGAAGAAACACGGGGCGGCAAGAACGTGTGTGTGTGTGTGTGTGTGTGGGTGGCTGCCAAATCAAAAAAGAATCAAAGAAAAGAAGCCAATTCAATGAAGTGCGCACAAATATTTATGTGAGTGAACGTCTGAATGGCGCTGCACTCGAAATAACGGAACGTAATAAATGACGATAATGACGTTTGTTGCCAAGCGCAATGCATTTTTGACGTTTCTTGTGCGCGTTCTCTTTCCCCCTTTTTCCAGTGCGAGCGATGCGCGCACAATTCAATCATAGTGCGAATTGTTGACAGTTGACAATTGAGTGGGGCGACGACGTTGCCAACTTTTTGCACTTTTGCAATTTTTATAATACATACATGTACATGTATGTGTGCATGTACATATCTATGTGTGCATGCACACGTGCATGCAAAGGTGTGAGTACCAATGCACTCTCTAGGGTAGATCGATTCGTTTCCTTGCATTTCCATACGGTTTTATGTAAATATGATTCATGGGAATTCCCATAGTTTAATTTAGGTTTGACTAACTAACCGCAGCGGTTACTAAGTAGCTCTAATTTTATTTAGTTTTATTCAATATTATGCAAAGTGGTTTTCATGTTCCATTTAAGAAGAGATTTGTTCTCTTATCGAGACCAAGAAAATCAGTTTCAATTATATTAAAGCTCTGCTCTGATATTTATTTTGATTGTAATAGGATTTGGATTGATTTTAACTTGTGGATTGTATCTTGAATCTATAAATACTACAAGGTTCGCAATTTAACACTCTTTGTATCGGGTATACCCTATTAAAACAATATCCGTTTGGGTTTTGTCGCCGTTTGCTAATAGTTTTTTTTTTTCATTCTTTCTTAATGGTTGCCTTTGATTTTGTTATTCGTTCTACTCGCATTCGTATATGTTTTTTTTTTGTTTTCCTTGCCAGCGATAAAGACAACAGCAGAATTACTGATAAGATACGAATTCAACGATTCGTACAATACTCGAACGACTCGGGTTTTGGGCTCCGATCGGTTACGGTTTAGATTTGCGCTCAGCTCGTAAAGCTCTGCCGCTTCTCTCATTCTCATTCTCGTTCTCCTTTAACTTGTTTTTTTTTTTGTGTTTTTTACCGGCTCCATTTGTAGGCTCGCATTTTGTCTGCCATTTGTCTGTTATCTGAATGCTATATAAATTGTTGGAACGATTACGATTTGTTCAACGTGTTTGTTTCCATATAGTTGTACGTGTAAATACTTATACGTACATATATCTATATATATACACACACACACACATTCGTCGTCGTCTCTTGTCTTTGTTTATATCTTGCTAGATTTGCTGTAGTTTGTTGTTGTTGTTGTTGTTGTTTAACTTCTTCCCCTTTTAAAGGTGTAATAACTCGTCGCATGTGATGTCATCGTTGTCACTTTACGAACAAAATAAACAAAAGAGAGTCGAGTCAGACAATATGCAAATATAGCTTATGAATATTGCTTAATACGAAAATCAAATGTTGCATTTTGTTAGGAAAAGTACTTGATATAGTTCAAGATTCTAAAAGATGCGAATAATGCGATGTGAAATGAGTTGCATTTATACAAATTTACTTTTATTCAAATCTAAGAGTTGATTTTTAGATGGTATTAAAGCATTATGTGGTTCAATAAATGATTGATTTTGGAAAGAAAGAAAAGAAAGACAAAGAAAAACTTTTATCCATGTGTTCATTTATAGATGATATTAAAGTATTATGGGTTAAAAAATAATAATAGATTAATATACAAATTTAAATATGTTTTAGTATTCATCTAAATTGAAAGCTTGTGAAAATCTCTAGTCCCGACTATCGAATACCCTGAATACCTCCTTCTACTCTCGTTAGCTCGTTCCAATTAATTAATTTATTTGATTTATAAGTAAGGGGCGTGGAGGATGGCGATAAAAATCATAGATTTGATATATATATATACTGTACAGGAAGCTATATGTCAAGATTTGGACATTCTAACTTTTACAGGCTAAGAGATTTGCGCAAAAGACAGGATTTCCATATCGATTTTTATCGATTGCTTGGAATCGGGTCAAATGATCGATTATCGGAAACAAACATACATACGGACGGATAGACAGACAGACAGACAGGCGGACGGACGGACAGACGGACGGTTATGGCTAGATCGACTCGGCTATTCATGCTGATCAAGAATGTATATACCTTATGGGGTCGGACAAGGGTACAAATTAAGTAGGAAAATAGGTAAGACGGAGCCTCATTAAAAAAAAATTAAAATTAAATATTAATTATTAATGAAAAATGTGAAATTTGCTATATATATATATATCTGGCAAATTTGTTTTAGTTGTAGAAAATTGTTTACAGCGGCCAAAAGGAAATGAATGCAAACAATAAAATGCAAACTTTTTAATAAATTTGCACTGGAAATGCATATTCAGCAGTTTGTAAATATATATATATATGGTATATATATGTATATTTATAAGTTTGTATAGCACTTCGAGTACTAATGAAAGATGATAAAAATGTCACGAGCTCAATTAATGCACATTTCGATGTAATTAATTAATGCAATTCCAGCAAAGAAAAGCAAACTAAAGCAAAGCAAGGAAACCGAGCATAAAGCAAATCAACAAAGAACAAACACAAACAGAAAAACAGAAGAAAACAGAAAAATATATATTAATGCTAATCGTTGCATTTAGCTTAAATGTCACTTGTTGCTGTTGCGGAAACAATTCCAAGCACATCAATTAAATATTTGCCAGCAAATGTTGGCATCCATTTTATGAAATACATAATTCCCCATCATTACTCGCATATCATTTGTTTCTGTTTTCTTTTTTTTGGGTATTCTCCCAGAATTTGGTCTACAACAATGATAAACAATGCCAGGCTGATTACCTGAAAGAAAACAGGGCGATAAGAAATGCTTTGTTTTTTTTATAGAGTTCTAATCTAAAATCGCATTACCTTTGCATAAAAATAAGCCCAACATCACGAACAAATGTATCTAAAGTTTTTAATGATATTGATATTGATTTTAACATCAGCTTTGCGCCAAGGTTTAGGTTTGAACCAGAACCATAGTTCGAAAAAGAAAACCTTTTGCACTTATGATTTGCCTGTAACTTGTTTCGGTTCGTTTGTTTCTTGGTTAACTGATTTGGTTTATGGTTCAAAATCAATTGAAATTTCGAGCTCAAACCAGTTCGTTATACATGCAGCTTTCCAGCCTTGCGCAGCTTGAAACGCTTTGGAATTGAAACACGAAAATCGCCAAATTGTTCGCAATTCTATGCCTCTGAAGTTTGTTTTATTAATATTTTTTAAAACTTTGGAATTGAAACACAAAAATCGTTCTCTACTTTTTCTTTTTGCTATACAAGTTGAAACACGAAAGATTTGTGTTATATCTTTAGTTTTTCGAAACAATGGAAACACTGGAATTGAAACACGAAAAACACAACACTTTTGCAATTAAAATCTTTCGAACTGTTGTTAAAGCCTCACGTTATTTGCATTTGAAATCTTTTGAAATTAATTTTTGAAACAGTGGAATTGAAACACGTAAGCTTCAAGTGATTCCCAGCTCAAATCTTTCAAAATTTGTTTTTTTTTTTCTGAAACACTGGAATCGAAACACGAAATCCACAATATTTTTCGCAAATAAAATCTTTCGAAAATTTTTAAAAATTTATTTCTTTGTTTTGTCGCCCAAAAAACGTCAACAATATAGAAATTCAGTGCAAAACTTGTGCAATTTTTTTAATTTAAAATTTTGGGCAATTTTTATAATGATCTAAACGGATTTATGCACGTTTTAATGAACATTTCATTGACATGCTCAACTGCCTAGGCTTTTCGACTAAATAAATTATCGACTTGATGCCAATTTTTTATTTTTATTTTATTTTTATTTTTTGAGTGATTCTTTCTATCTACATTTTTGTCTCTCAGTCTGCGCTTTGGCTTTCATTTTGTTTTTGGCGAAGGCTGTTGCCAACACAAAAAAAAAACAAAACCGTAAAAAAAATTAAACAAAATTCAATAAATGGCAAACGTCGAGAACAAGTTTCTGAGATATACACACATTCGCTCGATTTGCCGACATTGTAAATGT